AAAAAAAAAAAATTTCGGCACTACGTTTTCAGTGTTAACTCTCTGCTCCTAAACTCATCGCGCGTGTTCAAGGCCGGTTTCTATTTCCTGACATGTATTGCCTCTAGAGTTAACAATTTTGTTCGATTGTTTGACCTATCTGTAATTTCCCAACTAAGATCTACGCAATTTCCCTCAAATTGGCATTGCTGAAGGTGGAGGCCTACCGGTGAGTCTGCTTTCTTATGTTCCTCAATGCTAGTGGTCAAATGTCGAACAGTTTGTTCGACATAGGTAGAAGTGCATCCACTACAAGACAGTTTATAAATCACTCTTGACTTGAGGTCATTAGAAAATTCTGACTTCAGTGATGGTAAACATGATTCTATTTTTCTTGTGGTGAAAAACACTTGAACTTTAATTAATTTTCGTAACCTGTTAGCAAAATTTTGTATCTGGTTTCCTCTATATTGCACCATCAGCATTGGAGGCTTCACATCCTTTAGTGATTGAATTGACAAACATCTCTCACTATCCAGGGTCTTGCTTTTACCCTCGATTATCTTGCACAAAGTGTCTGAAGCCACGTTTGCGGACCTGATTTGTCAGCGATTGCGCCCTATTAGTTTCCATAGCCTTATCAAATCGCTCCCAGCTAGATGTACTGTGCCTTGGATAATACTACACTTATTCTGAAATGGGGGGCGCAGCTTCTATAATTCAGTATAGTCCCTGTATCTGTTGATTTTTGATACCAACTGCAAATTACACGCCTACCCTGCGATACATTTTTGTTCAACTCCAGGAACGGCGAATTCCCCTCCGAATTAGTTTTCTTTAGAGTGAACTGCAGATTTGGATGAAGAGAGTTGGCGGCATCGAGAAGACAACTCGGCTCCCCTCTGACTGTTCTAACAAAGTCATGCACATACCTGAGAAACAATTTCACCTGGGGAGTATCCTTCTCCTTGTTCTTAGCTCGGCAGCAGCTTTAACAGTACCAGACTATCTCGGTTATTGATGCGTATACGTATTTTTCTGCATTTTAGATGATACCAGTTTCGGCAACTCTCGCATTCAACCCCTTTTGATCTACATGTGACTTTCCTGCTGCAACATGGGCAAAAGCCGTTTTCATAATCAATTTGCTTTATCTCCGTTCCCACCGGTATTTCTTGTCTTAGAGCAAACACGTACTCTTTCATCCATAAAATTACCAGAATTACAGCGAGGGACGCGCCCATTGCTAAACCATCAACTCGTACATATTATGAATCATTACACTTGAAATATACTTTACTGACCGCCATATTCAAAAGCCTTTTCCTGGTTGCCCTTTGAATTTCAGGAGGATACTCTTGGCTGTAGAGCTTCTGTAAAGCAATTTCAATTGCCTCTTTCAGGTGAACGTTGATGTACAAACTTATTACATCAAGAGATATTATGGTTTCGTCCGGATCTAGAGCAATGTTTTCAATTGCTTCTCTGTCATCTTTAGAATTGGTTTCTATATTGGCTCCATCGATGTTGTCAAAAAAACTTTGCAAGCATTTTGTTCAGATTCTCATACGAGCTGCCTGGAACTGATAGTACTGGTCCAGTTTTGATTCATACGTTTGTTTCCTCATTATGCAAAAACCCAACCCCTTATCAAAGGGCACAGTCAGCAACCCATTATCTTTGAGATATTTCCTCGTTTTTTCAACGGCTTTGTCTCTTGGGGTTTGCTTTACGTTTTTTGCATATGCCTTTGCCGCGGCTTGAATTTGACATAACGTTTCACCAGATGTTTTTTGGTTTTTTAATTGTGAGAGGAAAATGTCGATATCCGCCGAAAAGTGTGTTTCGTTAAATTTGTCTCTAATGGAATACTTCGGGCCCATTGATAGCACTCCATATAATCATCCAGGCAGTTCAATGTTTTCAAGTACCTTAATTGATCGCTCATTTCTCCCCTCAAGAAGTTTATCTTGTCTCTCGGACAGTTTTCTTAATTAAACATTTTAAAATTAATATGTCTGGAAGTTTCTGAGTCATAATTTTGATTTAGACATGTACGTTTTGAATAAAAAACCAAAAATATGTTGGGACTAAATTTTCAGTGTTAACTCCCCGCTCCTAAACTCATCGCGCGTGTTCAAGCCCGGTTTCTCTTTCCTGATATGTATTGCCTCTAGTGTTAGCAATTTTGTTTGGTTGTTTGACCTATCTATAATTTCCCAACTAAGATCTGCGCTATTTCCCTCAAGTTGGCATTGCTGAAGGTGGAGTCCTACCGATGAGTCTGCTTTCTTATGTTCCTCAATTCTAGTGGTCAAATGTCGAACAGTTTGTCGGACATAGGTGGAAGTGCATCCACTACAAGACAAATTATAAACCACTCTTGACTTGAGGTCATTAAAAAATGCTGACTTCAGTGATGGTAAACATGATTGTAGTTTTCTTGTGGTGAAAACCACTTGAACATTAGTTAATTGGCTCTGGTTACCTCTATATTGCACCATCAGCATTGGGGGCTTCCCATCCTTTGGTGATTGAACTGACAAACCCCTGTCACTATCCAGGGGCTTGCCCTTACCCTCGATGATCTTGCACAAGGCGTCTGAAGCCACCTTTGCGGACTAATTTTCAGGGTACTGATTTGTCAGCCATTGCGCCCTATTAGTTTCCATAGCCTTATCAAATTGCTCCCAGCTAGATGTACTCCTAAAAACCCTGTGTACAGTGCCTTGGATAACACTACGCTTATACTGAGTTGGGGCGCAGCTTCTATAGTTCAGTATAGTCCCTGTATCTGTTGGTTTTTGATACCAACTGCAAGTTACACGCCTACCCTGCGATACATTTATGTTCAATTCCAGGAACGGCAAATTCCCCTCCGAATTAATTTTCTCTAGAGTGAACTGCAAATTTGGATGAAGAGAATTGGCGGCATCGAGAAGACAACTCGGCTTCCCTTTGACTGTTCTAACAATGTCATCCACATACCTGAGGAACAATTTCACCTGGGGAGTATCCTTTTTCTTGTTCTTAGCTAGGCAGCAGCTTTCACAGTACCAGACTATCTCGGTTATTGATGCGTATACGTCATCGGATATTTTTCCGCATTTTAGATGATACCCGTTTCGGCAACTCTCGCATTCAACCCCCTTTGATCTATATGTGACTTTCCTGCTGCAACATGGGAACAAGCCGTTTTTCTCATTGATTTGCTGTACCCCCGTTCCCACCGGTATTTGTTGTCGTAGAGCAAACTCGTATTCTTTCAGCCATAAATTTGCCAGAATTACAGCGAGGGACGCGCCCATTGCTAAACCATCAATTTGTACATACCATGAATCATTACACTTGAAATATACTTTGCTGACCGCCATATTCAAAAGCCTTTTCATGGTTGCTCTTTGAATTTCAGGAGGAGACTCCTTGCTGTACAGCTTCTGTAAAGCTATTTCAATTGCCTCCTTCAGGGGAACGTTGGTGTACAATCTTTTCACATCAAGAGATATTATGGTTTCATCCGGATCCAGATCGATGTTTTCTATTTTTTCTCGAGCCTCTTTAGTATTGGTTTCTATATTTGCTCCATCGATGTTGTCAAAAGCATTTTGTTAAGATTCTCATACGAGCTGCCGGGAAGTGATAGACAGGTCGTAGGGGTGTCTCATCCTTGTGTACCTTAGCTAAACCGTACAAACGGGCGGGTTGCCCACCTGTTGATCTCATCTCAGAATATAACTGATCACTTATCTCGTCTCTTTTGATCATGGCTAGTAATTCTTTGTTAATTTCCTTCTCAATTTTCAGTATCACCTCATCGGTGGTTGCATCTTTTTTCAAAAACTGAGCAGATTGCAACAAAAATTCCAGCTTTGATTCATATGTTTGTTTCCTCATTATGCAAAAACCAACCCCCTTATCAAAAGGCACAGCCAGCAACCCATTATCTTTGAGTTATTTCCTCGTTTTTTCAACGGCATTGTCTCTTGGGGTTTGCCGTACGTTTTTTTGCATATGCCTTTGACGCGGCTTCTATTTCACATAACGTTTCACCAGATGTTTTTTGATTTTTCAATTGTGAGAGGAAAATGTCGATATCCGCCAAAAAATGTGTTTCGTTAAATTTGTCTCTAATTGGATGCTTGGGGCCCATTGATAGCACTTCATATACCCATTCAGGCAGTTCAATATTATCAAGTACCTTAACTGATTGCTCATTTCTCCCCCCAAGAGGTTTATCTTGTCTCTCGGACAGTTTTTCTAACTTTTTTCTATGGTTTTCTGATGTTGTCTTTAAGCTTGCCTCAACTTGACGCCTCACGAATCGGAAAATGGATGCGCACCACTGTTTGTCAATTTCTTTTTGCACCAGTGATCTTGCTTTCCTTAGCATCTCCTCGTACCTTTTCCTATCCTCATTTGCCCTAGAAGTTTCAGTCCTTAGTAGTTTCAATTGAAAATTATTATGATTTTTTTTTCGAGGCTGGAAAAAAATTTTCTTAACCAAAATTATACAGTTATTTTGGGAGAATGTTACTACTGCCTACTAACTTACAAGTTAACAGTGGATATGTCAAAATAATTTACTCCATGAAATCCACCAGATGCAGACCAAGTTAAATTGCCCCGAATCATAAAACTTAAAAAATAATGATGGATATGTTTTTCAATCAAGAGTTTTTGAAATTCAGGGTGCCTACGGCCCTAGAAGTGAGATTTCTCTCTGTAGGAACTTGAGCACGTGTAAAGAGGAACCCAGGGCAGTAAGTTTTAATTTATTCAATCATTTTGTACTTATATGTTAAGATTTTTAAAAGCTGAAAGTGTCAAGAGTCAATGGATTGTAAAGGCAACCAAGTTGAAGTATCTCAAAGTCTCGTAGCATCATATCGGGTCAAGCTTTTGAGTTTTTCAACTGCAGTTTGTTCTGTGCAGGTGTTAGTTTTCTCAATCTTGTTGGCATAATTCTAACCATTTGACTCTCCTTACTTCTGTGAACAATGTTTGAGATCGCGTTAAATTTTTAGAAAGAAAATGACTTCTCTTTTTGCTTGGCTGGAAGTAATCGAGAAGGAGTTTGACAAAGCGTTCGTGGATTTAGATTTGATCCTAGGCGACATTGACAGCGAGCAAATTGATTTGACATACGATGGACGGCAGAAAATGACAGCTCTCAGTGCTGCATTTGCCCAATTGTGTCATAAAAGCCAAACTATTTTCCAGATGAACGCTAAATTGGAGGTACGACGACGGACTCTATTTACTTAGATTATTATGAATGGAACTAATTGAGAAACAAAAAATGGAAAAATACATGTTTTTCAAAAATTTATATGTATTTAAAATTTGCAATTAGGCGCAGCTGTTAAATATGAGGACAGATCTATGTGAAGTGCAGGCATCTAAAGCAGTTCTTGAAAGCGAAGTTCACCGACAACTACTTAACGTGCATTCTGTGCAACTAGAACTGGCAACTTTGCAGAGGGGCAGCCAACAAAATCCTGATTCACAAGAAATTATGCGACGGCTGGTATGGCTATAAACTTTTTAAGTTGCAAGTGTTATAGAAGAAAAGCGTGATAGCATTGAAATTCCGTGTCTTTTCAGAGATATCGCGTTCATATGAAATCGTTGAAAAGTAAATGTCTCGCTAGCTTATCCTGTTATGGTTCAGACCTTAAGGGGATATATACTTGCGAAAGCAAGTGTCTTGAAATCGGACTTAGACTTCTTCCCCGTAAACAACGTTTCTTGACCCTTTCGATAAGTAAGGTTATTGTAATCGGGTACTAGAATTTTTCCCGTATAAGACTCTGGTCACAGGAATCATATCTTCTAGACTCATCTCTAGGTTTAATGTATTGGCTAATGTAGTGTGTAGTAGTTGCATATTAGGTATGGTCTTTGAATGCCTGTTCACGGTTTTTAATAGAATTTGTTTCTGTGCCGAAACTGTATGGTAGAATTTTGGCGCCGGAAGAGGTCGGCTTTAAATTCGTCGGCTTATTTACCGATATTTTTTAAATAATTTTATTTGGTATTATGTGAGAGTCATTGTATTTTTTAAATGAAATTGTGGAAATCTTTCAATCAAACTCTTAGTCTTTAATCAAAATGAAAAAATTAAACAAAAAAATCATAATGATGTCAGTTCAAGTAACAAAAACGCTTCAAACGGTTGTTGTTTTTGGTTGTACGATCGGCTGCTTTTAAAGCATCTTTTTGGTGCAGATAAAGAGCTCATTACTTCGCACATTTGTTCAGTTTTTTCTGTAGCTTTTCGTTACTTCATTTTTTATTTTATTGTTTCGTTAGATTCTAACCCATTAATTTTTTCATTTAGCCATTTCGTTTCAAAAATGATGATCAAGAGCGCCTGAAACCCTATCAAATCAGAAATAAAGCAGGGCTGATTTTTTTTTGTTTTCTTGACTAAGTAACACGGGTAGTTCGACTAATTTTGCAACGTTATACTTAATTTGATTACCCTGTTTGCTTAGAATTTTTTTTCGGCTTTAATGATTTCAGCTCATGTTTTGTGGGTTTTGTGAAACTAGTTTGCTTCGGTTAAAGGTTAAAAACGATCCGATTCTATGACCACAATTTCTTTTGGCATTTTTAGTTTCGGAGCAAATGGCGTCTGACTATTTGTTGTCGGCTCAGCGAACTCTCATTAAAATCTAAATACTTGTTTAATGCTAGTGGTTGTGTTTGTCTTCTAATTTTCTGAGATTGGATGTTTCGTATTTCCAAAAATAGATAGTTGATTTTTTCATTATAATTTCTTTTTTTTTAAAGTTTTTTAGACCAATTGTCGTCTAACCAAGTTTTATTGGCTGAGTGAACTCTTGGAAAATACTAAACCCTTGTTTAATGCTAGTAGTTGTGTTTGTCTTCTAGTTTTCGTAGATGGAATGCTTGGTGTTTCCAAAAATAGACAGTTGATGTATGACAACAATTTCCTTTTTTCATTTTTTAGATCGATTCTCGTCTAATCAAGTGTTGTTCGCACAGTGAGCTCTCGAAAAATGCTGGATGCTTGTTTTATGGTAGTCGTCGTATTTGTCTTATAATTGTCTGAGATTGAATGTTTCGTAATTCAAAAATAGATAGTTAGTTTTTTTTTGTGACAATAATTCCTTTTTCAGTTTTTTTTTCAGATCAATTGTCGTCTAACCACCTGTTATTGGCTTGGTGAACGCTCGGAAAACTCATAAAGTTTGTTTAACGGTAGTGGTCATGTTTCTCGTCTTCTTGTAAGAGATTGAACTTTCAAAATAATTGTTGGTTTGTATGACAACAATTTCCTTCGCATTTTTTGGCTCATTTTTCGTCGAACCACGTTTTGTTGTATTAACGAAGGCAGGGAAATGCCGGAAGCCTGTTTAATGCTAGTGGTTGTGTTTCTCGTCTTTTTTTTCTGAGATTTAACTTTTCGTATTTCCAAAATAATTTTTGGTTTTTTTCAAGATTTCTTATGACAACAAATTCCTGTGATTTTTTTTGTTTTGGGGTCAAGTGATGTCTAAACACGTTTTTTTTTGCCTTAGGGAACGCTCGAAAAATTTTAGAAGACTTTTTAAACTGAGTGGTTGTGATTCTCCTCTGTTTTTCTGAGATTAAATTTTTCGTGTTTCTGAGAGTAACTTTTTTGTATTTAAGTTTTTCGATGGTTTTGTTGTACTACAAGTGTTGCGAAGCTCCGGTTCGCCTCTGTGTAAGTAACTGTAGATTAGCATCTTTTTTCCGCCCTACTTTTACTTTCACAAACAAAGTTCGCAGGGGATCAATCATTGTGTTTTTAAAGCTCGTTTACTCGTGATTACCATTCGTAGTTTTCTGGATATAGTTAAACAAGCGTTTTTAAATCGGAACAAAGGTTTTTGGATTGAAAACTTATTGGCTAAGCTTCATAACAAAACTCATTTTCAGGGGTGGGAACAAACTGATGTTAGTTGCGAATAAGTGTAATTTCAAACAGAAATGTATGTCTTACCTTCAAAAAACAACATAAACCCCAGTGATCTTTGGATAAACTGAAACTCCGGAACAACATCTCTCCTGGGTGCAAACACAAATTCTGTTTTAATATGATTATTTTCATAGACACTTTGGTCTTCTTCTTGAAAAAGTCTTATTTTACATACTATATTGTAGAGTGACAGATAAGATATATGAAAGTCAACATGGATTTCGTAATCGAAGGTCTGCGACAGTTCAGAGTCTTCTTTTCCTGGGCTAACTTTACGAATTAACTATCTGCAAGAAGTGCAAAAACCTGAAGTCATTTGATGCTGTACCTTCTGAAGTCTTGTTCAGCAAGATCAAAGCAAATGGCGTCAGTAAAACTTTTGTTAATCATACACATATACCTGTCTGACAGGAAGCATTGCGTAAGATTGAAGACTGCGGCTCAACCCTGAGAGAAGTCACTAGTGGAGTTCCAGAAAGTTGAATTTGGTACTATTGCTATTCCTATCGTTCATCAACGATCTCACCAAAATCTTGGAAAACCTGAACAGCTTTGGCTATGCTGATGACTTCAAAGCTTTCTTGCCCATGTTGTCGACGCCTTCCCGTGGCGTCAATTGTAGACTGCAATCCCATGCAGTAATAAAGAGACGACAACAAACACATACGGGGAGGCCCCGAAATGGGCAACCTCGAAAACAACTGAAAGGGGGATCGAGACACAGAACCGCGCAGCGTAGCGTACAACTGAGAACGGTGGAGACCAAACTGGGCCCGATGAGAGGAAAGGAAAGGGGCAAAAGCGAAGAGCGACGACGAGAGAAGAGGAAAAGAGAAAGAAGAAAGAAGATCATGAAAGAGGATGTACAAGGAGTACCAATAGAAGAAGGAGATAATCATTGTGACATGGAACCAGCAGAGAATGTCAATGAGGCAGAACAACCGACGAAAACTCAGAGAAGTCGTGAACTTCTCTCAGAATAAGAGATGTAACGTGGTGCTCATATCGGAGATCTCCGCCGATGAATCAGGAGTTATCTGGTTTAGCGAAGGAAAGGAGGCTCTGTAGTGATACACTCAAAGGGAGTGGCGACAAGCGTGGGAAAACGAAGGGATGACTAGAGAATTCGGTGAACGAACGACGATGGTGAAGATAGGAGACACCAAACTGATCGCTTGCTACCAACCGGACACGAGCTACGGACCAGAAGACATATAGCAATATCGGTAGGAACTCGAAGAACATCTGAAAACAACGAAAACGAACGAATGGCCGGTGATTGGAGGGGACCACAACTCAACCATCGGAAAAACAGAGCAAGAGAAATTCGTGGACGGGCCCTCTGGGCATTTGGTCTGGGAAAAACAAACGAAGCTGGCAGGGACCTTCTCCAGTGGTGCCAGGATAACGGACTGGCGTGGTGTGACTCCTTTTACAAGTTTGATCGACTAGGCACATGGCAAAACCGGATGAACGGAAAATGGCACGAGCTAGACGGATTCTTGGTCAGAAGAACGCAGAGAAGCCAACTGGTGAAGACAGCCGGAGTGATCCTAGAAGACAGTCTCTCGAACCACAGACCGAAAATGATGACGGTGAGGCTGCTAAAGCCGAAATGGAAGAAAACAATCAGACAGAAACGGGTAAACATCGAGAAACTGAGGGACAAATAGACAAAGAAATTCCAGGAAGCGACGGGAAAAAGATTCGAAGCGATGACCGACAGGTAGTGGAACAACGTGATGAAGTGTCTTGCCGTCGCAGCGTTAGTGGTATGTAGCAAAGCGCCGAAGAATGTGGACATGCACTGGATGGTGGGGAAAGAAGACGCCAGCCAAGAGATGCGTGGAAACATCAGCAGAGCCGCCAAAAACGCCGAGGAAATCTTGGAGACGGTACACGACCCAGAAAACTAGTGAGAGTGAACACAAGCGAGCAAAGAAACTAGTGAGAGTGGCACGACAAAGATACCAAAGAAAGAAGCGAAGGTGGGAAAGGCAGTACTGGAACAGCAACATTGAAGAAGCCAAAATGGCACAAGAGAGAAATGATATCGGAACCATGTACAAGCTACTAGTCAAGCTGGGGCCGATAGACTCGAAATCAGCTCGAGCAAGCGAACAGTTCTCATCGGAGGAGTACAAAGAACACTTCTCGAAAGTGTCTGCAGTGAGACACGAAAACACACTTGAAATGACCAAGGAAGTACTAGAAAGAATACCGGAGATGGAAGATCGAAAAAAGACCACACGAGAATTGGAAAAAGACATAACGAAAAGAGAGATAAAAAACGCTATCTCTGAAATGAAAAACGGGGCACCAGGCAAAGACGAAGTGAGGATAACTTATGTCAGGAGAGCGGACGAGAGAACAAAGAACATGGTGATTGAGCTGGTACAGCAGATATATGACACACCTCCGCTGGAGTGGGAGGCGTGCGTGAAGACAGGTCTGGTGATACCGCTGTTCAAGAAAGGACAAAGGAACAACCTCAATAACTACCGGGTGTCTGTCTTCTCACCATGGCGTCGAGAATCCTTGCGAGAGTACTGCCGACAAGGCTTCGAAAGTGGGCCGAAGAAATGAATCTCATGGAAGACAACCAGCAAGGCTTCAGAATAGTAAGGTCAACAGCGGACGCGACTTAAGTGTTCATCAGAATCCACCAGGAAGCGCAAGGCACAGTGGACCCTAGTGTGAAGCAGCCCGAAGACCCAGTGGCCACGCTTCTGGACATAACGAAAGCGTGCCCGACAGTCAACAGACCTATACTGTGGAGTATCCTGACGAAGTTCGGAATAAAAGGAAAGATGAGAAGAGCACTGGAAGGACTACACGAACAAACAGAGTACAAGTTCCGTGGAAAAGAGACGAACAGCGCCAGTTGGACACCGAAAAGAGGGCTGAGAGAAGGATGTGCAACATCGCCAAAACTTTTCAACGTGTACCACTCAACATTAATGAGACTGGCCAAAGAAAAGAGACGGAAAAAGTGTGAAAAAGACGGGACTAATCTGGGTATTGAGGAGTGGCAGTACATACCCGGTCACTCACTCCTTGCCTCCGAAAGACAGAAGAAAAGCGAGAGGCAACACCTCCACGAAGAAAGTGACAATCACCGAGTCGCTCTTCGCTGACGACACGACGGTGGTCGGAAGGAGAAATAAAATGGAAAGAGGGAAAGAGAAGATCAAAGAAACGATGGAATGGTTCGAGGAAAAGTGCCACCCAGGAAAAGAAGAATATCTGGAGTTCGGAAGAAACGAAGCGAATGAAATACGGATGCTCGGAACATACATGGACAGGAAGCACGATGTGAAACAGAGTGAGCAAAATGATGAAGGCCTGTTTTGTGTTGAAGAATAGGCTGAAATCGAGCAAGCTGACAAAGAGAGCCCAAGCGAGAGTTGTCGAAGCAGGTGCAGAATCGACGGTCTTGTTCGATGCTCAAATCCGACCTTGGCATATAAGTGAAATAAATCAGATACGAAGGGCAGTGGATAAAACCTACCGATACGTATGGTCAGACATGAAAAGCCCGCCGCTAATCGAGATGACCAAGAAAGGAGTCAACATGTTCGAAGTGCAAGAACAACTTGGAGTGACCATGATCAAGACGAAGATCACGAAACGAACAGTACAAAGAATTGGACATGACCTCAGAATGGACAACAATCGGATGACGAAACAAATTGCGTTGGCCAGCCGACCAAACCAGACAGACTAAACGACAAGCAACAATCGAGTACTTGAGGAAATGTTTGAAGGACGCAGGAGTGGAACCAGATCACATGGAGCAAGTGGTCATGAACAGAAGATCGTGGAGAGCAATGATGAACAAACGAATAGAGCACATGAAGAACTGGGAAAAGAAATAAGCGGAACGAGAAGACACGAGAAGAGACCAGATTGACTCTGAAACGAACGAGTGCCCAGTGTGCAACAAGATCCTCAAAAATCACCTGGGAATGAAGATTCACACGACGAAGATGCATAAGTTGGACAGAGAAGAAGAGAGAAACTGCCCCAAATGCGGATTGTTGACGGCCTTTCAAGCGAACCTTACAAATTACCTGAAGAGCTGTTGGGGAACCGTACCAGAAGCATGCGGAAAGTTTAACAAAGATATCAGCAGAAGTAACTTGGCAAGACACCGAAAGAAGTGCGTAGAACAACAGACAGCAACCATCCCCCGAGACCCAACAGACTGGAGTCATTGACCCGTGTGGCATATGCAAAACCAGAGTGATAGCTAACGGATGGTCCATCAAATGCGTGGATTGCCTTTATTGGATCCACAGAAGATGCACCGGAATGACCATTAGTGAAATGCGAATACTAGCCAACTACAGGTGGCATTGTGGTTGCGACATTGTACAGCTGGGAGCCGCTGCCGCCGTTTCACAACTGTAGAAGGACCCCCCGTGCAAGCTCCTCAAGGAGCTGAATGGCACACAAAGACAAAGACAATCACTCGACAAAGAAAAATGAGAAGTGGATAAAATCAAACAAAGTGCAAGCAAACGTCAAAAAATAATTTCCCAGTATCAAGGGCGCTCTGAAAACAACTCTGTTGAACAAAACTTTCGACTCAGTAAACTTGGCATGATCTGGGACTCATGGTATCCCACAAGTTAACGTGGCATGAAAATTGCACGCGTCGATTAACCAAAGATATTGGCGCTTTATTTCAAATTAAACGAAATCTCACAAATCAGTGCAGTACTACCACCAAGTTAAAGGTCTACATTTGGTACGCATAAGATATTTGGTAACCATAGTAGCTTGCGCATCACTGGTATGGCTCCCTAGTAAAGCAAATATGGAACAACTAGAAATGGATCTAAAAATTGCAACGAAATGGATTCAATGGTCATGTTTATGTTATACGGAAAGCCTGATTGATCTGAAGCTTCTCCCTCTTAGCCTGTGTATCGAAATGCACGATATATTAATACTACTAGCTATCCTCGAAAACCAATAAGACAACGAGCAAGATCGGCGAGATCTGAAGGCTGCGGAATCTTTCCACAATCATTCAGAGATGAACTTCAAATATCATGTAATAGCTTATAAAAAAAAATTCCAGCTGAACAGTACATATCTACAATCGTCTTTCTTATTCGCACTATTCCAACGTTCAGTCTCAGACCAAACAAAGCAAACTTGACTAATATATACCATAATTTCGTAATGAAGCCGAAAAAGTTCATGGAAACTCTTTTGTAGATGTGAGAGCTGCAAATCATATTTACTAACTCAGATGAAAGTAAATTGGTGTCTAAAAGGTTAAAAGAGCTCTCGCTGTGAAACCTATTCTACTGCTACTTCTACTGCCATACTAATCATTTGGGGCTTCAGTTTTGGCGGGAAAAGGTTATTCGTAGCAGCAGCATATCTGTTCCAGTAGAATGCGTGGCCAACAGTTACTTTTTGTCCATGTCCTGCATTTAAAATCATTATCTTATACCAACGAATTAATTTTGTAATTCCTTTGTTTGTTGATTTCGCTTGTGCTCGGGGGGAGGGGTGCTTAAGATCGATAGCTCAAAACTTCCGGTTTAACTGTCGTCTACCGAAGTTATGTCTACTTAGTTAACGCTCGATAAATTTTGTTTTTCTGTTCTTATTCTACACTGAAAATTGTGTTTCTCAGCATTTCTGATGCCTAAGTAAAAAATATTGTTTTTTTTAAACGGGTTGTGTCCTTTTTTGGCTAGCTGCCATGCTTTTGTGTTGTTTCGTAAGTAGAGTGCAGCGCCGCTTCGCCTGAGTTGATTTCTGAAAATGTTTCCTTTTTTTTTACCATTTGAACTTCTCAATTTAATTTTCTGTGATGGGAACGAACTGTACTACAGGCTATCATTCTCGCAGTTGTACTGTTTTGGGCACATCTCATACTTGTATCTCCATACATGTTTTTTGGTGCTGACTTGTAATGAAGCTCTGAAACAAATACGAAATTCTGGAGCTGAAATTTAATTTTTTTACACTTATGAGAGCAAAAAACTTATAATCGGAAACTAGACTTTTTCTTCACGACAACTATCTTATTAAGAACAAACCACTTTAGCTTTGCTTAGCTTGGAAGTTAAACTCAAAATGCTCGGTTCGATTGTTTGGTCGGTTGGTGTAATAGTAACTGTTGATACAGGAGAGTGAAATGGACAAATTCGCTGGTGACAAAATGCGTGAGTGCCGTCTGGCAGCAGAGCTGGAACAAGTAAAGCAAGAAAATAGCAACTTAAGACAGTCTCTGTACAGCCTCCACAGTGAAGTGTTCGGAGCAAGATTGGCTGCTAAATACCTGGACAAGGAACTTGCTGGAAGGTTAAAATTTGAAACTCGTGATTGTTTGTAACTCACATTTTAAACTACGGACCCAAGATAGTTTTTGAAGGCTACAAAATAAGTAATTTTAGCTCGGAACACGATAATAGAAAAGTAAGTTATCATTTTCGTTCGATAAAAATGAAAATGGTTATTGGATGTTTCCCAGCAATTTTTTTTGTCAAATAGTTTTTGTGATGAATTTCAATCAGTTAGTTAGTTTAGTTGGAACGGCAACAAGTTGAAAGGTCTTATAAACAAACATAATCTTTCATGTGTTTTCGTTTTGTTAATAGAATCCAGCAGATCCAGTTATTGGGCCGTGACTTGCGTGGGAGTGAGCATGACAAGTTGTGGAACCAGTTGGAGGCTGAGATCCATCTGCACAGGCACAAGACTGTCATACGAGCATGCAGAGGAAGAGGTGAGAAAAGAAGTGAAGCAGTTTTATTGGCATCGTTTTTTTCGAATTCAGTAATTTTTTCGAAACTTACCGACTGGAAATTTTTTTGGGCAGCAATTTTTGACGAGGAGTGCTGATCTTTGAGCACTCATAACACTGGAGAATCTTGGAAGAAAAGCCATTTAGTTTTCTACTCTTGTGGCGGGCCATTTACTCTGCATTAGTCAAGAAATAAACGAGATGTGAGTATTTGAAAATGAAAATATCCGAATTTCCAATTTAAGATCGCTTTGCGACCAATAAGTGTTTAGGTGTTTTCAAATCAGGATTTTTGTACAATTGTAATGTAGAGTTTAGTTGAAGAATGTAAATTTAATCGTAAATGTCTTTTTAATGTTTAACATGTTAGTTTTTGCTTTGCTTGATAATCTTTTAAACGAAAAAACCAGAAAATGCTTTCCGTTCAACAGGAGGTGCAATAACTGCTGGAGGGGGAGGGGCTGGTGTGAACCACGTGGCTAATGGTCTGCCTGGACCACATGGGGGTGCTGCGAATGGAGATGTGGGTAGCAATCTGCCAAGACCACAAGACTATGTTAGTTCTCAAATGATTTCTGGAGTGTGTTTCGAAACTCGCGTTAACATAATACTGGCGATGGTATCATTCTCTTAGAACAAATAAGTTAAAAAATACCGTCTTTTTTACGCTCAAATTTGTTATTCGCGGTTTGTTCAAGTTCAATTTTAATTATATTTGCGGTACAATTTTCAGCTTAACTTCGCTTGCGATTAGCAAGCGTTATCAAACTGGAATATAGACCTTTTTTGGTTAACTAGTTTAACGAAATCAGTTGAATCACTTGCTGAGGAGGAGGAAGAAAAGGCAGCTGACTTCTTTTCTATGCAGCTGACTTCTTTTCAGTTATATTTTCTTTTATTAACATTCCAGGTTGCTTCCCCTTGGCCTGGAGGTAAATCATTTGCCTCTGTACCCTAATGTCTGGGGTTCGAGTCGTGGCCGGATTTTTTTTTCAGATCAAGGAAATCGAAAAAAAAATACCGAGAATAATGAATTGTTGGTTTTCCGTTTGTTGGTTCAAGTTTTGTCGGCTAAATTGTCACAACGGATTCTGCTTGTGCTGTAGATTATTTTCATTGCAGTTGCAAATGCAAGTGTTATTCGTTCTAATTTCAGGGGGACTTGCAAGATTTAAAAAAAAAATTTTCCGGTTCTGTTGTTGTCTGCTCAAAAGATTGTCGGCTTAGTAGCCACATCACTGATTTTTCTTGTGCTGTAAACAACTTTCATTGTAATTGCAAGTACAAGTGTTGTCCATTGTTGTTTAAGGTGGGACTTAAATCATATATTTTTTTTCGGCTCAACTTGTGTCTGCTCATAGATTGTCTGTTGTTTCTTTTCGTAAATTTTGTTCCGTTTTTGCTGTTTTAAGTTCAAATGTCTGGCATTGTTTTAAAATTCAAGTGTCTGGAATGAACTTCTGTCGAGGCATATGAAAGTTTATATGGCCTAATTTTTTTTCTAAAATTTTCATTTTCGGCTTTCTGTTTTTTATTATGTTTGTGTTGTATCGTAAGTGGTGCGAAGCCTCTGTGTATATATTTGCTTTTTGTTTTTCCCCCTTTTTTAGTGTCCAAATGATTTCTGCTTATAGTTTATCGGCTTAGTGACCTAATTTGGAGTCGTTTTAAGTGAAACGTAGTCTTTATGCTCACATCTGGATCGCACATTTTGCTAAAATCTTAATAGAAATTATAGTTCAAGTTTTTCATTTCTTTCGTTTATTTTCGTCATTTTTTTCCTTCTTCGCCCTAATAGGTTTCTGCCTATAATATATCAGCTTAATGGCCTCATATTGCCGCTGTCGACCAGCGAAAAAGTTTTATGTGTGTTTTGAGGTTGAGGGGGAATCAATCATTTTTTATTAGTCTTAAAATTTTTGAATTTATTGTTTTCTTTTTTTTTCGGGTTAATTAGTTTCGGCCTTTATTACATCGGCTTAGTGGCCTCATATTAGTTCATTCAACAGGCGATTAAATTTTTTTGTTTATGTGTTGAGGGCGAGGGGGACTTGTTAAGTTTTTATATGTCTTCAGTCTCGGTGATTTTTTTTCGGCTTAAATGGTTTCTGCTAAAGTATTTTCGGCATGTTACCGCTTGGTAAATTCACATTCTATAGCATTGTATAATTGTTGTCTCGCAAGTGGTGCGAAGCTCAGCTTCGCCCCTGTGTTCATTTTCTTCGTTTAAAGGAAGGCTTACTCCACCGACGAGCTGCAAAAGTGTAAAAGTTCACAAAAAACGTGGCCGACTTTTAATTTTGATAGTCGATTTTAGTTTTAGATTTTTCTGCGGAATAAAAGTTTACCAATTGTTTATTTTTTCGAAATTGAGTTAATTTTGTCAGTTAAGTGCCAACCATTTTCTTTTTTTAAAAAATCAAAGAGTTGTAAGGCCAAATATTTTTTTCTTCGAAAATCGACAGTAGAAAAATGTTCCAAAACTATCAATAAGCTTTTTTTTTTCGTTTTGTTCTCTTTCTTTTTCCTAACTCTCCGTGGCTTTGTTTTCTTGAAACAACTCAGTATATTTTTTGTTTCCTTGCGTCCATTAACACTTCTAATTCTCGTTGGCTATGTTTTTTTTTCACTTGGGACTGAAAATAAAAGCCTGAACATATGTAGTCTTCTTTTCAGAACCCTTTCGCCTGCATAGCGTGCATTCCCTCAAATTGCAGTCAAGCTAGTAATTAGCTGTAAAAAGGAGCTGTTTCGGCAATACTGCTTATGTTAAATTGGCGTAGTTGCTTGATTTTGCGTGGTTTGCAGATCTAAATGATATTTTCTTGCCTCTGTTCCTGGAAGGGGGCTTAAAAACTCGTGTATAAAGCTTTATAGCTCAAATTTGTTTGTGAAATTAGTTTTGTTTTCGACTCAGTGGGCGTCTACTGTAATATCTTCTGCTTAGTTAACATAGTTAGAGAAGCGCAGCGTGGTGTCTTATTACGTTATTGCTTTTTTCCTATGAAAGTGCCCGTAAAAAGGGCACTTTTGCATCTTTAGGTTTGGTTTATTTTGCTGCATAGCTTCTTGTTTTTTATCTGGTTTATTGGTAGCATGTTCTTGTTTGATAAAAAGTAGGTAATATTAAAATACATGGGATTTAGTTTTCGATTATTTTTTGAGACTCTGGAAAATTTTTGTTCTTTTTGGAAACGTTTTAGTTTTTCTCGTGAACTACTTTGTCGATTTTCAAAAAAGTGGTACCAATAGTAAAATTGGCAATTCGCCTGGCTGCCTGCATACTCCACTAGTTTTTGAAGCTTTACTCGACGTTCTACAACCTTCAAAAGTTTCAGTGGGGGATTTTTGGCCCGTTTTTTTGTTTTTTTTTTCTCTAAAACTACCCAACTCTGAGAGGAGATATATCAAAAACAATTGTTACGGTGATCACCCATACAAAAGCTGTTTTGACCAAATTTTTTTACTGAAATTTGTGGCCTTAGAAAATGTCCAAATTGTAAGTATCGACCATTTTGTGGAAACTTCTTGCTTTTCTCGAAATCTACCTTGACTAACCTTTAGAATAAAGGTGCACTTGCGAAATCAGTATTATGAATTCTCATTGCTTAATCAGCTATTCCCAGTTTTTGAAAAAAATATGGACATAGATAGAAGTTGTCCAATTTTGAAAAACTGAACGTTTTTGGAAACTTTTTGACTTTTCAAAAACTACTCTGCCAAATCTGAGGCTAAGGGTTTCATTGAAAGAATTAATCTAGTGAATCTCCTGTGCACATTTGGGGTCACCTTGATTTTTGGATGAAAAAAGTTATCGCCTTAGACCATGCGCTAGTAATTTTCTCTTCAAAGCGGCTACGCCCTGATTGTTGTGATTATTCATGATGTGAATAATCTTTCACGTGAATTACTGGAATAAGCGGTAATTTCCAACTCATAAAAAATAAATTATTGGAGTGCGAATATAATTTTGGATGATATAACAATTGACTTCTGACAAGTTAACGAAGTTAATTGAAGACACATATGAACAAATAGTTAATTATTGGCGACCAAAGAGGGACCATGCGTAATCTTTCGTAACCATGCGTAGCAGCCAGCATACCGAAAAAAAGAATAACTTCAAGAATGAACCAAGTAAATTGAAGTGGTTATGTTAGCTGCTCAGTGAAGACAACTACTACATTGGACACTGCCCAGCTTTTGTAAAGGTAACTACCCAACAAAAAACTCAATTAGTGAAGGATAAGCAGTTGCGCTTCAACTGCCTGGGTAACCATAGGTAATTTGACTATACGTCTGCAAGACGATGTATCATAGGCAACTGCGGAAAAAACAGCACTCTACTTTACACAGGAATCAGGATAAAACTGGGCAACGGCATACTCAGAAATCCAAGAATATCAATTTGGAAAACCAAGTGAATGCAAAAACCGTTTTGAAAAACCAACTTCAGTTTATGCCCATAACTTTATTCAACAACAACAAAGCGTTCCTTTCTATGCAATTCTTGACAATTGCAGTAGCTGTTCTTATTCCTGAAATGCACAGCTGATACCTTACAGTGTCATGATACCTTACAGTGTCATGATACCTTACAGTGAAATTCACAGCTGATTTCTGAAATGCACAGCTGATACCTTACATATATGAACAAAGAGTCCTAAATACCATGTGCTAGTAACTTTCTCTTCAAAGCGGCTACGCCCTGATTGCTGTAGAAAAGCAATGTTGGACTCAGAAAAAGGTCTTTTTAAAATTTTCGAAATATTTTAAAAATGATTTCAAGTAGGTATCTTCAGCTTTAGCTGGGCCCCTAGTGTTAAACTATCGCAAAGTGGCAATGGTGCTTATCGCGGTTGGTGGTTCGATTCCACTACATCAGAATTTTAGTCTTACGTCTTACGTAAAGCTTCGCCTCTGTATATATTTTCTACCTTGAGTGCTTTTTACGCTGGTCATAGTTTTCGCAGTTTGTTTTTTCTCCAAAAGAAAATATTTGGTAGATGTTGTTTTTTTTCTGGTACCAATTGGTAAATTTTGTCTTGTTGTGTTTCCCAACATCTTTTATCTCCGAATTAAAATATTTGGTAGACGTTGATCAATCTCATTTTTGTTGGCTATTTTGCAATGCAATGCTCCGCCTCTGTGTTGGGTTTTCTAAATTGTCAGAATGTTCTGTATAGTTCAATTTAATCTAGTCTGTTTGATCAGGCCGTGGATAAAAAACGTCGCGGAATCGGAGACATTCGTGTCGTGAAACTGAGACGAGAGCCGACGGAGGGTCTCGGAATCTCAATCACCGGGGGCAAAGAACACGGAGTACCCATTCTTATTTCGGAGATCCATGCCAACTTGCCGGCTGAGAAGTGCAATCAGCTATTCGTGGGAGATGCGATTCTGTCTGTGAATGGGATCAATCTGAGAGATGCAAAACACAATGATGCTGTGAATGTGTTGTCGCGCCAGGTAAAATTGAGCACTTATAAAACAATTGCTTTTTATGCTTAAATGACCTAGCCCTCCTCAAAAAAGGATGAAAAATGACTAAAGGTTTTCTTTGATTTGAAACTGATCATTTTTGATTGAACTTAGACGAATAGTTTTTCTCCTCTAATGCCAGAATTCAAGGGTTTATAGCTATCCGTTGCTGGTAGATTTTTATAAAATGCTTTTTTATTTATTCTAGCCTGAAGTGTGAAATAAAAGCCCTTGCAAGATGTGTTTTTTGATGTTTTTCGTAGACTGGGGACCTGACTTTCGAGGTGGTGTTCGTTTCTCCCGAGGACTCCGATGACGAAGACGAACATGGCAACGTCAACTACTACGACACCGAAAAGGACAGGTTAGCCAAATCTTTTATATCTAAGGCATGCAAAAAATGACTTCTCTAGTAAACTTCTTGAAAAGCGGATGATTTTTTTCGGATTCGTAGTTAGAGGCCTAGTTTCCGTCAGCTCATTTTCCGTTTTTTGAATGGAATTTATTTTACCTGGTACTGATTTTTATCGACCTGCTTTGTAAATCATGCATTTTATTTTGATTTTATTTTTTTTTGCTACGATTAAAAGTTCTGTAATTTGTCATAAGTCTGATTTCGAATATTTTCGTTTTTTTTTATATATATATTTTTCCAATTAAATAGTGTCGACTTAGGTTGTTTCTGCTTAGACAATTTATATTGCCTAGTTTCTAAGGCCGAAAAATCCCTCTTCGGCAATATCAGATATTATGAAAATGTATGGGATTGGGATTCTTTCGAATTTTTTTCTTCATTTTTTTTAACTGGATAATCTTTTTCGTCTCTTTTTACTTTACCCTCCCCCTCTTCTCTACAGCCTTCGGAAAAGTGTGGGGTGAATATTTGGCTCAATTTTTTAAAACTTTTCTTTTCGCAAAAACTATTCACCCTAATATGAGATTTTGGTTCATTGGCTAGAACGGTTTGTCGAAAGTTTTTCTGCATATCCGGCCTCGCTCTTTTTTACAACAAGTTATGGCCATCTGAAATTTATGGCCATCTGAAAGTTATGGCCCTCGAAAAAATAATACTTGGTTTTCTCGAAAACAATACTCCCATATCTTGTTCTTGCGTTCAATCGAAACAACAGTTTATTTGAATTTCTTTTGCATAAGCGGCTTTTCCAAAAAGTTGAAACTCGAAAGATATGGCCCTCAAAAAAGTTTGGTTTTTGTAGTTTTTGAAAATTTTTGACTTCTCGAAAACTATGCCGGTTAAGTGTTCAATCGAGAAACCCGATTTTCTAAATATTCTCTGCTGAAGCGGCAACGTCTTTTTTTGCAGAAAAATTTTATGGATTTCGAAAAGTCACGTTTTTGAACGTTTGACCGTTTTTTCAGAATTTTTTTACTTAGAAACTACTACTTTTTTTTGTGAGAAAAATGTATGTAATATCTCAGCGAAGATTCCTATAAGTAGCTGAATCTTCCATCAAACCAGCAAAACATTGATTTTCTTGAATTGAAGTTACTTGAATTGTAACATTTCTGTCATCAAATAAGTGTGGATAAAAGGCTGCGTCATGTTTTAAGGATTTTTGGTCCCAATCTGATTTGAATGAACTTGTATCAACAATTGGCCAGTTTTTCTATGTCTCCAAATTTTCGAGCTTGTTGAGGTCCAGCTGCTTGCAATATTGTGCAAATTCTGTTATGTGAGTTGTTTTTACTGCCGGATAAATGGATTTAAATTATACAATAATCATGGTATTTTTTTAACTTGAGTTCTGTTTGAAAAAACTCAAGGCAGCACTAAGGTTCTGTTACTTAAAAATAAGTAAGCAAACTTCCATCGAGTAATGTTGCTTTGAAAGTCTGAAGCCCAAGAATCACCACCGTAGTTACTCCTTTTATTTCAGAATCCTTTACCCGGCCAGCATAACTGCAGTTTCCCCCTCCGTAAACGGAGCAGCACCCACTCACAACGACGTGAACAAATTGGACGCCAGCAATCCCAGTTCCCCGATGTCAGTCACAGTCCCCACCCAACAAGGAGGGATAAATACGTCGGGAACTCCAGGAAGTTCCCATCCACTATCCCAAAGAGACCAGAGCGTCGACTCAGTGTCATCAGTAGGCGCCGTCGGTAGCGGAGCAGTGTCTCTGAGTATAAATGTCCCGTCGAATGGAGGATACAGTGCCGAATCGAACAGTAACGAGAATGGTTCGGCACTGTCGTCGCCAAACCCGACTGGTCGAAATCCGAATGCAGCCAACACGAGTGAAAATGCAGGCAGTAGTAATAGCACTGGAAGACACAATCCGCCTCCCGGTTTGATGTTGCAAAGGAATAGCACGGAAAGTAGCGGGTTTGAGGCTTAGATAGAGAAAGTTGCAAAAACGTACCTTAAAGTTGAAAAATTATCAAACCACGATTTGAAAGTCATCACGAGCCTATAATTTTAGTACTTATGTTGATAATGAAAAAGATTTGGTTTTTGCAACTTGGTTTTATAGCTTAAATATCAATGATAAAACTCACTTTTGACAGCACTGGTTGTTTCTGTTAAAGACAAAACTTTCAATATAGTTTGAATCGAAAAAGAGTAAAAATGTCTTAATTCACTTCACTTTGGTTGAGCTAAATATCTGATCAATTTTTATGGAGAAGTTGTCTGGCGAAATGTTTGATTAAAATTGATCAACAATGGGTTAAGTCTCATCCCACAAGTTTCAAGTGCTAAATTATGCTGTCGCTCTCCTTTGCTTTAAAAGAAAATCTAATGCTAGTCTAATAGAAAAATCGGTTTCGTTTTCTTGCAGTTGAATAGTTCTTGTAAGTGTAAAATAAAAACATCCATTTTCTTAAAAATTTAATCATTGATTGTGATTTCTGCGGAAAATTTTCGGGAAAATGAATGTCGGAAACAAAGAAAATTTTTGAATTGGATAATTAAATCATCAAAATTTATTCCAATTGTACATTTGCATCCATGCATTGTAGTGTTAATTGATTATCAAATAAACTATAAATGAGTCGACTTATTTATTTGTTCGAGTAATTTTATTTCCTTTCCTCGTGGATGGTCAATTCTGAATTATAGAATGATAATTCTCCTCACTTTAATTTTCATTTGTGGCGGTGAATATTCTGACGACGATTTATTTGTATATAAATGCTCATTTATAAATTGTAGAATATAATCAAAATGAATGATAAGATAAGTTTTAATAGGGAAATAAGTCTCTCATCAGGAGTGGCTCACACAGGGGCGGATCTAGGATTTTCTCGAGGGGCGGGGGGGCGGATTTTCAAAAAGAAATCGAAAATTTTGACGATCTTTTTTTTAGGTCAACCAAATTGATTCTTTGAGCTCTCCCAAAGCACTGTTTTGCCCCTATTTTGGCAAAATTTTCTGCGCCGCTGGCAAATTTTTGAAAAAACAGTCAAAAAAGGCGTTTTTAGGCACTTTTTGGAAAATTTTGACCAAAAAATTGCGTTTCTTCTTAAATATTGGCGCCAAAACTTTAGGGTCGGTTGGCCAAAAGTGGATTTCTTAAAAAGTACCAAAGGGGGGACCCTTTGGGTCGGCAGGGTGTCGGATCCCTGACGGGGGGGGCGTCGCCCCCCCCCCCCCCCCCCCCTAAATCCGCCCCTGGGCTCACAGATAAAGAATCGTAAACATGTTAGAAATCGGGTATCTGTTTATAAAACAGGTACATGATACTCGAAAAGTTATTTTTACGTGCTTTCAATGATATTATGTATATCACCCAGAATAGTCTCGAGTAAAATAATTTCAAACGGATACTTGGTATGTGAGAAAACCACCCGAAACGAAGGAGATGGTTGGATTTATAGTTTAAGCTCTTTTTCCTACCCCCCCCCACCAGTGAATTTACACTAGTAATTTTTCTGTTCTTATTGTCCGATTATACCAAAATTTGGCATGCGGACTGATTAGGCTATGACAAACTGATTTGGTCGTCACATCTAACCTTGTAAGATCCTCGTTACACCAGAAAATTGATGCGTATGTGAGTTGAGGGAGGGGGGTGGTTGAAGGAAAAAGAGCCATAGTTTATTTTGAAGCGCTCATGAATGACGTGCGATTTTTTTTCTTAAATTGTATGGTATTTACACAAGCAAATCTTAGTAGGAACTATCTTTTTCCAACCTAAGTAGCATATTTTAGTGTTCATTTTGAAAGTGTTCTTTTTTTCTAGTTTGTTCATAAGATCAGCAAGACTGCTCGTGTACATAAGATCAACAATCAGGGCAAAGCCTTTTAAGGTCTATGAAGCAGTAATAACATGCAAAAATAAATGTAAAAAAAAAAGAAAATAAAATGAAAAATTTGTGAAAATCATCTCCCCACACGCCATGTAAAGTACTAAGTGATAAATTTCGCTTCTAGTAACAAATCAATTATGGCAAATAAGCTTCCTTCAACCAATTTGGAACGATTTCTAATACGGATTAAATCTACGCTTACGCGTCAATAGCGCGAAATATATCGCGCGTTAATTGTCTCAAATTGGCCAAAATGCCAATCTTTAAAACCCCATAACTTTACGAAAAACGATCACAGGTGAAATATCTTTTCAAATTTAAGCTCAGGACAACAATACCTTTTGAATGATATAAAAAATTTCCGTCAAAAATAGCTAGTTAAAAAGTCGAAATTTGTCTGAAGAAAAAAAAAACCCCACACCGAGCACAAAATATTCCGTTACTTTCGTATCGAATGTCGGAACAATAACCAGCTATTAAGTACAGCCAATGCCAATGTTATTAACACAGACTTTTATATTACAAATAGCACTTTAGTTTCAAGTTATCATGGATCTGTTGCGTAGAGTTAGTGAAGGAGAACCACAAAAAATAAGAGGATTCGAAACTGGCCAGGGTCGGATGTTTTAAATGAACTTTTTCGTATACTGGTTAAAATGCCTCCGCTCTATAAATTGAGGCATGTTAGTTGGTATATATTTTTTTTCAAATTGACTGGTACTTCTGGGTGCCGGACATCAACACGACGGGACATCAAGTCGAACATCAAGCAAGTCATGAAGTTTGATTAATTTGAAGAATTTCTTGAAAAATTTCTCATTTTCATGATCTGGCTCTTTTCCAGTTCACCCCTTTCAAAATACCGAGTTTTATGTTAGTTTTACGTGTTATTACGGCTAAACGCGTGATGTTACGCTGTAAAGTATGAAGAACAAATCTGTTCAAAATTGTCGATTTGTTCACCACGCCAAAATTCATCGCATTATGACAATGTTAAATAGACTTTTCAAAATTGAATTTGAAAGAGGGGCACTGGAAAAGAGCCCATGATCTTTATTTATCAGTTAATGGTGTTTTCGTAAAGTTCAAGCCTCCAAATGATGCTAAGGAAATTTGAAAATCAAAACACGGTAGAAGGCGTTTTTTATATTTATAATTTATGCATTTCAAAAACCTGCTGATAATATTAACGGATGCGAATCCTAAGTGGTGCATTGTTGTGAATAACTAATTATGGACTAAACTCGCCTAAGTTTTTGAAAAGTATCGTTTTACAGCAGAAAAAATAGTGTTTTGATGTGATTGTTTATTTCGGCCAGAAGTCCCTTTGACTTGAAGTCCCGTCGGCTTGTTGTCCTAGACCTGGTACTGCTAATGCGTCATAATTGGCTTGCGTCACTTAGCAACTATGTAAACTCCTAATTGGCTTGCGTCTGCATAATTTAGAAATTATGTAGACTCAAAGTTTTACTTACTCAGTTTTTCTCAGTAGCGTTATCGGTCATATTTTTGCTTGTGAATGCGAAGTGGAACTTCGCCTCTGTATTTGAAATCGAAAAATAGACTTTTTCAGGTTAAGAACTTGTTTAACAAAATCTTTTGAACCCTCAGTGACAGCACGTGCGTTAACTTGAAGCGCTAGAATGCTCAATTTCTGATAACTCATTTTTAACTAAAGAATACTCGTTGATGTTGCAGTACTCTTTGTTAATTGTATTAGTACGCTGGATATTGCAGCCTTTTAAATGAAAGGCAAGGTATTCCCTCCAATACCAAAGGTACAAATGGCGCGAACATTGGAACTTGAAGTTTAGTTTCAAAAGCGGGTGTTGGTATGTGTGTTTCCCAGCAGAATAGTTTTAAAAAATTTATTTGTTCCGACCAATTTACGAAGTCGGAAGAAACTATGTGCTAGGTATGGTTTTTCTCTTTTTTTCCTTCTCCATAAAGGCTCATGGAGGGTCAGATGTGGTATTGACCCTATTGATCGGTATTCTGATTCCGAAAGATGTCAAAAAAGTGCTCTCGGTGTGGACAAAAGCGGGTCCGAAGTTATAGTTTTTCAAACTAAATTAGATAGAGGCTAATAAAGGAATTTGATTAGAGTCTGGCCTCTAATTTTTTTCTTTAAATTTTATGTTATTTTTTTCTAACAATCTATACTACTCATTTTTCTTTTTTCACTTAAATCAATTTCGCTTTCTTGAAGAAATAAGAGAAAATTTAGGACAAATTTGTATTTTTTTCGATTGCTTAGATAGTTTCTCCGTTTTTGCATTTAAAAGCAATGGATTCGGAACGTTCTGTGCTTTTTGTGTATCAACCGGTTATCCTTGTTGTTCCGACTTTCGATAGGAAAGTAACGGAATATTTGTGCTCGGGTGGGTTTTTTTTCTTCAGACAAATTTCGACTTTTTAACTAGCCATTTTTGACGGAATTTTTAAATATCATTCGAAAGGTATTGTTGCCCTGAGCTCAAATTTGAAAGATATATTTTACATTTGATCATTTTTTGTAAAGTTAAGAGGGCTTAAAGATTGCCATTTGGGCCAACTTGGGATAATTAACGCGCGATCTATTTCGCGCTATTAACGCGTGAGCGGAGAGTTAATCCGTCTTAGAAATCGCTCCAAATTGGTTGAAAGAAGCTTATTTGCCAGAAATGATTTGTTACAAGGAGCGAAATCTATTCTTTTTTATTTTATATGGCGTGTGGGGGGGGGCTGATTTTCATTAAAAAATTCAAAATTTAGAAAAAAATTTTTTCATTTGTTTTGTTCCTTTTTTTTATATGTTATTTCGGCTCCATAAACCTTAAAAGGCAAAAGGCAGTCGGAACATGCAGTAATTCGCCCTGATACGAGCAGTCTTGTTATTTTTAAATCGAATGTTCTTTCGAGCCATGTTTTTTTTTATTGCTTTCCTTTTACGGTTTCTTAAAGCTCCTTTGTGCCGTTTTATTAACTTCGTGTGAAATTCTGCTTTGCTTTGGTGTCCATTTGACTCTTAAATGTGTTTCAGGTGTAACACACAATCAAAAATGGAAAACTAAACGTATGAGAAGTTTTTCGCCGTTTGAGTTTTTGATTTATAAAGTTCAGTTCATTTTTTTCTTGAAAAGAAGGCAAAATCCACTATCGAACAGCAAAAATATAAAGGTCACGAAAAACGTGATCGACTTCTAATTTTCGAAAGTGGACTTTACCTTGAAGGTTTCTCAGCGGAATATAAATTTTAACTTCTTTTCTATCAAAAAAAGAGTAAAAATGTTCTTGAAATTCAATAGGCCATGTTTTTTTTCTTTGAAACTGGAAATTTTAAGCTTTTTCCAAAAAAAACAAGTCAATAAATATATTAAGCCGTTTGCTGCGACAGTAGAACAGAATATTAAACCAATTTGGTTTCAGAAAAGAAGTTTCTCAAAAGGCCGATGGAAGGTGAGAAAGCAAGAAAAAGCGGTAACTACAGTTTTATACTTTTTATAGATTTGAAGCTGTGGAAAAAAACACCTGGAATTTTTAGACCATTTTAAAAAAAGTATAAAAAAAAGAAAAAAGCAGAAACAAACACGCCTTAAGAATCTATAGAGTTTTTTTATCCAATACCCGTTTCCCGCCTTATTTTATAGTTTTTTTTGCTGTAAATTCGTCTGATAAATACAGAAATTTAAAATGTTTGTTGCTCAAGTTTTCTGTAGGTTTTTCCTAAATAGGGCGACCGAAATAGAAATTCTGGAAAGAGGGGTAGGTATAATGCTTAGGTTGGTTCCATTTACCTACCTGATATTATGCGTCATTTATTGGATGCTTCTACTTGGATATGGCACGTTTCATTTTCATTGAATTTCATCGACCGAAGCTCGCGCAGTACTCGATAAATTTCAATGAATTGGTAACTTCATTGATTTTCAATGAATTTCGATTAATCGCTCGGCCATACAAGTCGGCATCACCTACTCTTTAAGCTTGATTCAAAGGTTTTTTCAGCCTAAGGCGTAGTCTGAAACCAGTTGAGATTTTAAAAAGACTTTTGAGTTGAGATTTTATTAGAGACTTCGAAAGAGTACAATTCAGTAATAGGATCTCTTTTTCCGGATCTTTTTTGTCATTTCAAATTGTGAGCTGTATCATTGTTGTGTAACCGAAACATTTTTATTTTCGCATAATGTAAAATTGATCTCGGAAACAAAAACCTTTTAAGCTCAATTTCCAGCGAGTAAATTAGTTCAGTTTAGCTTTTATTTACACTTTTAGGCTAAGAAAAATTGATTTTATTAAATAAGAAAATTAGTTTGGAAGTTCCATTTTGAATATTTGTGCAAAAAATTAATTTATAGAGTTTTTTGTTTGTCATTCATATTTTGATGACAAATGTTATCGTTTATGCCTAATTGTTTAACTTTCTACGCGTTTGAACAGTACTATAATGAAGCCACTCACTAAAAGCGACACTAATTTGAGGAAAAGAAAAGAGAAAAACCTTTCAAATTTTTTTATGAATGGGGTCGGACTATTCTGTGTTGCCTGCGCGGCAACCGGTTGTTCTTGTTTGAATAAGCGTTATGGGTTGAGTCCGACAATCTACAATGTGTTAGACATATGCGGGCTATGAAATAGACTGGTTGAATTTGATTTCTACCTTAGATAATTTTTCAAGCGTTTGCTTTATCCGCAGCGCAGTTTAGCTAGTATACATCGTGTTCGTCGATGCAACCAAGTTTGGTTGGGACAAGTTTTATTTGAGTACCGATTTTGAATTGTTTTTCAACTTGACTTAGGCAAACAGCTTTTATTTTCAGCTAATATGTCAACTAATGTAGATGATGACGATGGTCCACCGCCACTTGAAGACCTGGCAGAGGAAATAAATGCTGCTTTGAACTTGAAACATTCTATGAGCTCAGTGGTCGGTAAAACAAACCTGAAATCATCTAACGCGGATAAAACCAGTTACATTTTGACCGAATCACAGAATACGGAAACGAATGGCAGCGTATCAAGTCAAAACAGTGTAGCATGTTTGACTGAAAATGATAATAAGGAAAGCGATAAAACCGAAAGAAAATTGCACCAACATAGCGAAAAATCTTCGAGTAAATCGGCTAAAGCAGATTTCGGAGGAATGAACAAAGGATTTTTGTTTGGAGGAAGCCCAAAGAAACAGACAAAACCGAAATCAGAACTGCCCAAAAAGAAAGAAGAAATGCCAGTTATCAAATCTAACCCAGAAAACACTTCCTTGAAATTTGAGGAAGTCCAGAAAACTCAAAATGAGACTCCCAATTGGATCAATGACTCACTTCTAAGTAAGTAACATTTATCCCATGTCTTATCCCATTACTGAAAAAGGCAAAAATGACGAGTATAGAAATTGATCAACCTTATTGTTTTTTACGTTTGCCATTAGCAAACGTTATGTGAAAGTGGTTTCAATGCCAATTGTTGGTCTCAATCATTTTAAAAAGCCAATATTGAGAATCTTTTCTCAAAATTGGACAGTCTGATTATTGTTTACAAGTTAAACATTTATAATGAAAAACATCATTCATTGGTTTCCTTTCATTTTAGACACAGTAACAAATGACAATACCCTCATGAATAAACTTAACGACCCGAAATACGCCAAAGTTCTCGAAGAGTTCCAGAAAGACCCGAAAGGAGCAATGGCCAAATATGCCGACGATAAAGATGTCGCTGAGTTTTTCAAATCCTTCATGGGTATTTTCGGAGACCACTTTTCAAAAATGTTTCCGGAAGAACAGAAAACAGAAGAAACGCCTTTGATTCAAGAAATAAGCTCAGAAAGCCGAACTGTTTCTAAGCCGAAAAGTGCAGCCGAAGTTGCAGATGAGCGAAAAATGCAGGAAATTCTATCGCGGCCAGATGTCAGAAAAGTGCTTCAAAGTCCAGATGTCCAGAACCTAATTCACTTAATGCGAAACGATCCAAATGAAGGCCAAAAACTGTTGTTGGAGAAAAGAACAGATGAAACTTTTCAGAATAGTGTTAGAGTTTTATGCGATAATGGATTGCTGCAATTTGCTTCCTGAAGTATTTTAAATTGTTTAATCTATTGCATTTTGTAAATTGTTTCATCTGTAGATAATTTCGAAGTTATCGGAAGTTTTTTAGCGGATGATTGTCGCCATAGATTTATAGATAATTTTTCGGGGCTTAAACCTTGCATAATTTTTTTACGAACTTAGTTTTTTTTCGGTATCTAAATGACGAAAAGCCGTTCAAGCTTCTATGTCTCGGTCCTGAGTTCAAGTTTTGGGGGATGTGGAATTTTTTGAAAGAAGCTTCTTTTTCGAGGCAACTTTTCTTTTCCAAATTATGCGTTGAGTGTTGATTCGAAGTAATTGTTTCATCAACTTTCGACTATGTATTAGGTTTTGTAGTTCTAGATATGTTCAAAAATTGAAGCATGTTAAGTTTTTAAGGTAGTTTTTGTTAAAACTTGTCAAAAAATTATTATTTATTATCAAAAACTGCAATAAAGCTGGTAATGCGATAAAGTCTATCTCATTGAGCATCTAATTGCTCTTTAAAATCGTGGATTTTCGCCCTTGGGCGAGCAGGTGAGCAAACTTTCAATTTTGATACTTTTCAAGCGTTTTCTAATTTAGCGCACATTGCTCTGAAGAGATTGTGTATTGTTGCGGCCATACAGAGTGGAAAAAACTATGGCGTAGGTTTTTTGGGATTTTTTGTGTACTTTCAAGGAAGCTCTGGGGAAGGGGTCAAGTGTGAGGTCATATTAAATCACTCTGAGTAGTGAAATTACAGATAGGGTTTCAATTTCCAAATGAGATATCACAGAATAGATATCTGGCTTTGCTATAAATTTTGAAGCCTATTTCAGTATAGTGGTAGGCAACATAAGCATTATGATATTATATGTGCTTTGACAGCTCATTCGTAAAGGTTATTTCAGTTGATGCTTTTAAGTTCATCAATTGAACCGAAAAAAGCAATTCGTTTTATACAACAGTATAATAATTAAAATCCCATTTCAGAACTTTTAAAACTCGATATATTTCGTGAGACTTTTGAAATGCATAATATGTTTGCAATTTGAATCAATACATACTACGTTGCTACAGGCAAAAGTTAGTGCATTTGCCTTAAGTTTATTACATTCCAAATTATGACATGCAACTTTTTAGTTTTGTGCATTTGTAAAGCTTCCGAATCTTTGCCGCTTTCTCGCTCGTCTTTGCGAAGCTGCAGCTTCGCCTCGGTGTAAGAAAGTTTTTTTTTTTTGCGGTTTGTCTTTTGATTACACGTTTAATCTAATTTGATTTGCTAATAGGAAGGCAATTCACGCTCTCCAGTAACGAAAGAACAAATAGAGCCAAAAAAAGTTTGATGACTTTCAGTTTCCAAAATGGACTTCAATTATCAGAATTCCCAGCACAATAAGAAATATCTATTGATCCAGTTTTTTTTAATTGGGTTGCTGTTATCAAAAAAGTTTCATTCATGAAAGATTCATGAGTTTCAAAGAGCTTAAAGGTAATATTTTTTTTCTTTGAGACTCGAAAATGAATTTTTCCAAAGGAAAACCAGCGTTTTTTTTTCTTTTTGAGTTCATTGACACATTTCCCTCTGTCTGTTGGCTATCTTTTTTTACACTAGCAAAGCCTGTGTTATAGTATGAATTCTCTTTTTCCCAACCTAAATCGCAAATTTTGTTGCGACGCAAGTATTGTTGCGACAAAATGTGTTCATTTTGATCAATAACCAGCTATTAAGCACAGCCAGTATTAACACAGACTATTATATTACAAATAGCAATATAGCTTCAAGGTATCATGGATCATATCCGCTTTTTTAGGAGCATTCAGCTACGTGATACTTTTATGCTTTTTTCTTTTTTGTGTTCTTGGCGTTTTTGTTGCTGCTTGCATAGGACAGCTTTGCAGTTTTTACACTTGCGAGAGCAAGTGTCTCGTAATTGGGAACTAGATTTTTTCCTGTAAATAACTTTTCTTTCAAATCTTACATGCTTTTTTATTGAGCCTTAACATCTTTAAGGTTTTCCCCTTGGCCTACAAACAATGTGGTTGCCTAAACACCCTAATGCCTGGGGTTCGATTCCTGGCCGGATCTTTATTGTTTCAGTATGTATGAAGTTGAATTTTTTTCCGGTAAAATTGAATTGTTGTCTTTTCATCTTTTGTCGTCTTAGTTCGGCTAATGTTTCATCGGATTGGTTACTTTCCTTTGTGTCGCTTCAAAGGCAAAAAAATGATTGATTATTTCTGTGAAAAGTTCAGGTAAGATTTAAAGTTTTAAAAGTTAATTGCTCAATTTTTTTATTACAACAATTTGAAACTTTTTTTAGAACATCATTTTGTTTCGCTCAATTGGTGTCTGCTCAAAGATTGTCAGTTTTGCTCTGTTGCTAATTTAATATTTGAATGTTTTGCATGGTATGTTTGCCTAGAATGATTTTTTTGTGACATTCGAAATTTTAGTAGACCTTTTTTTCATTTTTTTTTTCAATTTTTTTGTGTTGTTTTTATGGTTGAGTGTATCGCTTCGCTTCGCTTCACCTCTGTGTTCAAATTATTTCGCGATTTTTCTGTTTAATATTCAGTTTTGCAGTGAACGTTCGCAGTGGATATTCTTCTCGCACTTCCTTATCTTTTGATTGCTTTAAAATTCTACTGCTTAATTTTTGAACCAAACTATGGTTATGGTTTCAGAAACTGCATCTCTGTTCTTTCAACGAGAATTCTGGAATTAGCTACGAGTCGACGAGTTTAAAAGCGTTCGTGGGATTTTCTGTGACTTTCATTCTGAAATAGTGACTCATCTCCGATTCGATCAACGCAGAATTTTATGATACCAAACACTAACTAGAGGTCACAGTTGACCTGAATGTAGCACAGAACTGTTCAGACCTTTTAATTGCAATAATGCTCTTTAAACAAAGAACAAATTTTCTGTCTTTCAATATTTTTTTTTGCTGTTTTACTCTGTAGGTCATATACAATAATCGAAATTGTTGCTTGGGTGGGTAAGTAATTAAGCTCAGGTACTCGCCAGGCTCACAGTAGTCTTATAGCTTAAATGGGGCACTAGTATTGCAACTTCAGGCAAGTGTTTTGACTATCTCAAGCTTGATATTAGTGAGAATTCAATTTCACAAAGCAAGTGTGGTTAAATCAAATCCATGATCTGCTGCGTTGAGATCTGATCACTAATCGAGAAAATGATAGCGGCAACGAATTCGTCGATAAGTTTAGCCAGATTTTGAGTAAATTTAAACGGAAAAAACTTAAGCAATGCTTAAAAGACCCTAAAAACAACATTGCTCTATTACCCTTTTTTGAGGAAAATGACTTGACCTTTGATTGAGTCTGACTTGTAAAATTTTTCTGAGATAGCATGATTCAACTTTTTTGACAACGATAATTTCAAGTATGAAAGGACTTATTATGTAACTTCATTGGAAACCGCCTATCATTTAACAAAGGTAGTGAAAAGCAACTCCTAGAGTCGAACGTTCTTTCAGATGAACAGGTGAGTGTTCACTTGAACCAATAGATCATTTCAGATTGTAGTTATGACTGTAAACAGTGGACCAGTTGTTGTGTCTGGAACCACTGCCAGACGCTCTTTGTTTACTGAGAACCCTGCTGCTCCTCCGAGTGTGAACGAAAATGAAGTTCCTGATGATGATGAATTTGATGAGTTAATGATGACTGGCGGTGCAGTGGCTTCAACATCGACTCAAGGTAACCGTTTATTGTTTATCGTTTGAGCTTTCTGTGGCATAATACTTCTATATCGTAACCTCGTTTTTTTGATCGTGATTTTCTTAGATCCCTTTTCATCTACATAGAAAATGTTAAAGGTCTTATTCGCGTTAAATCACCGCGTTGATTCGTGAGCATTATTTCGAATTTTTTTCTATTCAGTTTCCAAATCTGCAATTGAAGAAATGAGCAACAAGAAGAAACGTCTCAAACAATCCACACTGGACGATTTTCCAAATGATGACGAAATTAATGACCTTTTCTTGGATGACCCCAATCAGGTCAATGACCCCTGGCTAATTGGATCCAACATCCACAATACCCAAAACACTCAAAAGAGTGAAAACATGGACCTTCAGTATCCTGATAGTGATGATGAACTGGAAATGATGGTGACAACGCGTCAGAGTGAAAATGAGGAAAGGGTGAAGAAGTTGACCTCAACTCAGAGAGTGGATAAAGGGCGAGGGAGGGGTATGAAGATGGATGTCAGTACTATTGGGGTTACTGGGGATGGAGAGGGAGAGCCTGAGTTGGATGTGCATGCGGAGAGAGCGCATCAAAGGCTGATGGCTGTGGTCAGAAAAGTAAAAAAGAGTTTCTTTTGTAGAATCTCTTGACTAGCTATTTCGGACCAAGTTAGCAATCTCCCCCCTGAATCAATATAGAGGGAGATTGTTCACATTGTTAAAAATAATATTTTTCAGTCAATCAGGTTTGAGCATAGGACATGCAGGTCTTACGGCTTGAATTTGGCATTTAATTTTAAGGGAGATTGTTCACTTGTTCTCATGGGCTGTTATTTCTACGCAGCTATAGTTTGCATTATCTTTGTTTCTTTGAAGGCGGAGATTTATTAGCGTGAATTCCTATTTTATACCAGATTAGAACCCAAGTGTAAGAAAATTTTGAAGATCTGGTAACTTTCATACCAAACAAGTTTTAAAAATTTTTCATGAGTATTTTAATTTCAAATGTTAGGTAGAAGATCGTAAATCTCAGAAGGTTGTGAAGGAACTTCCACCCAACTCAACTATGGTCTCATTCGCATCTCGCACAGACGACTCTACAGGTGACACGAAGAACTGTTTCTTCCCTATCTCGAACACGACAGAGAACTACTTTGTTAGACTATGCAAGGAGGATGACGTCACAGTTCCCTCATGGAAGAAATCAAATAGGAGTCTGCTGCCGACTTCGTTCAATGAGTTGAGGTGAGAATGGCGGTGTTTTTACTCGGCTGTAACAAAAGTCCTGAATTAACCACTAATCGAGTATCTTTTGCACTTTCGGTGACAAATGACTAGTATTTATTGAAAAAGAAAAAATAAAGTGTACTATTTGGTTGACCAAATTTCAGATTTAAAGGGGAGAAAAATCTAGCTACCGTTTAATTCATTGAAAAATTGAATAAAAAGTGTACAGTGCTGATTTAAATTAACCGGACAAAACGAATAAATTTTGAAATTTCAAACAGGTTTTTCTCAAATTGGGTTAAGGTTAGACAAAAAATGAAGAGAATAAAAGTTGCTTAGAATTTCACCAAAATTCTCTCACAAAATTTTAGCCCAAAAATGGGTCATTTTGGCTTTTTTCAATTAATCAAAAATTACGATGTAACTGCTTTTTTAGTTGATGAGAAATATATATCTTAAGAAGCCTCTTACACAGCCTGACATGAGTGATAGTCAAGAAACGTGATTTTTACTATATAAAACCCAAAATCTTTGCTTAAAAACAAATTTTAAACAATTTACTTGAATTTTTGGAGATTCTACTCTTCTGGAACTTTGTTGGGCAGTGTAAGGGGCTTGTTGTGATATAGATTTCAGACAAGTGTAAGGGGCTTGTTGTGATATAGATATAGATAAAAAAGCCAAAATGACCCATTTTTGGGCTAAAATTTTGGGTGATAATTTTGGAGAAAAAATTGCACCATATTAATTTTGGTGAACTTCTAAGCAATTTTTATACTCTTAATTTTTGATCTAATCTTAACTCAATTTGAGAAAAATGCGTTAGAAAATTCGAGTTTTGTTTATTTTGTCCGGTTAATTTAAATCAGCACTATTGGTCGGTAGATCAAATTTCCACACCAATCAAACCCCCACGTAGTATAGAAACCAGACCTATGAGACTCATTTGAAAACCTTAGACTCTAGATAATCGACCGGTTTTATTTTTCAGGTTGAAAGCGTACGAGGAACTGCAGAAGCAGAAATCTAGAGACTCAAAGGTCGCATCTGAAGTACCTTCTGCAGTCCAAAGTCTGCTTCATGAGGTCAAAAAGAAACCTTCCAGTGCTTCAGCAAAAACTACTGCCCCTTCAGACGATTCACAGGTAAGTCAACAGGTAATTCCACTGTGAGCTTAACTACACTTGAATGAAGTCAAGATTTGTCGAGATGAAGGGGTTGTCCGGTGATTCAGACACCGAGATTTTAGATTACACCAACCTACGAATGATTTGAAATATTTGAGAAAAATGTGTGGCAGCCATGAAATGGTGATTTTAACGTGCGAAGACTTTTCGATTTAAAAAAAGACTATCATACGAGTTTTTTACAGTTTCAAGGGCAATAAGTTATGTGCCATTGTTAATTTCATGCACTTGGTAGGTTTTTTAAAATTTAATCTAGTTCATTCTCAAAGTTCAATGGATTTGCAGGGAGAGGGTGAGTTTGTTGAGAAGAGTGATGCTGAGAAGCGAAGACTGTGGGTGGAGCAGTACTCTCCGAGGAGCTACCTGGAATTGCTCAGTGAAGAGTTCATCAACAGGGCACTTCTCAGTTGGATCAAGGTTAGGGAGTTTATTGTGGTTACTGAACAATGACGTGATTGAAGGTGCGGGGGGAGGGGTTGGTAATTACAAGACTGCCCTATAGAGATCCCCATTATAAAAGGGATGTCACCAATGGTAAGCACAAAAATAAGAAACTATGAATAAAATGAAATGTTCTTTACGCCATGTATCTATTAGCTATTATTGTATATTTAAATACCCGCTTCTCTATCTCGCCATGTTTAAGCTTTTTCAACGTATTATTTTTTACCAGCAGTCATTCTTTTGTTCCAGATATGTTTAAAGGAAGAATTTTTTCACGTTCAAGCTGCTATATCGTATAATGCAATGGTTAAGAAATATTTTTCGATTTTCCAGTTTCAACTGGAGTTTATTTTATAAGTTTAAAATGAGAAACCCAACAGTGTCATGCTTTCAGGGTTTCCGCAGGGGTTGCGAATTGGGCCTCAAATTATGACTGCTCCAATCCTCGTAGTTTCCGAGATATGATTTTTTGTACTTTTCAGAAAACTTAAATTTGAAAGAATTCTAAAAATTTGAAATGCTCAACCCAGAAGTTGGGCGCTGTCAAGGTACTCGCAGAGGTTGTGAACCTTGCCTTCAATTATGACTGCTCGAATCATTGTAGTTTTCGAGATATGACGGTTTTTATAATTTTTTTTTTTCAATTTTCAGAAAACTTGGATTGAACAATATTCAGAAAGTTTGAAATTCCCATTCTTGTTGTTAAGCACTGTGAGGGTTCTTTCAAGAGTTCCAAGTTGCATATCTTGCGTCCAAATGCGACTGCTCAAATGCTCTTAGTTTCTGAGATGAGACGTTTTTTTTTTAATTGTTCAAAGAACTAAGATATAAAAAGTTTTGCAAAATTTGAAATTCATATCTCTATAGTGAGGCTCTGTCAGGGTAATTCCAGGGGTTGCAATTTTTACCTCCAAATTTGACTGCTCAAATTTGAAGTTTCGCTAAATTTGAAATTCTTATCGCTGTAGTTGGGTTCTGTGATAGATTTCAAGATTTTTCTGGACAGACTGGATGCACTAAGATATTAATACATGTTTTTCAATCAACGCTTTTCAATTAAAGGAATGCATTTTATTGCGATCAAACTGACTATGATGACTATTCATTGAAGGCAATGGTTGCTGCTTCAATGTTTTCAGGTTGCTTCACTGAGCCCAACTTGCTATTGTTTCAGTTATGGGACAAATTGGTGTTCAAGAGAGATGTGACCACCAACATCGTGTCAGCAGACAAGTTGCCCACCAGTCTGCCTACCAATGCAGCCGCCAAGAAGTTTCTCAAAGACCGCGAACATACCCAGCAACAGGTCAGTCCGCTCTTGTTAAACCGGTTGATACAATTTAAAATACTTGTAGAACACCAAAACATTACAAAAAAACTTGTATATTTCGTGTTTTATTTAGTTCTTTTCTAGAGTGAAAGTCATAGAAGTCGCATTTAATACTTTCGCGGTTGAAAAGCACTACAAAAATAAAACACGACGTATATAATTTTTGTACCTCTTAAATTCTTGTGTTTTGAAATTTTACTACATCTATGGTTTGTCTGAATTCAGTGAGCTACATTTTGGCTTAATGACTTCATTGATTAGTCTTCTGAGCTCAGTCTGTATTGTGGTCTGCATGTTAAGAAGTGCTTAAAAATTTTGAAACTATTTGGCGGTTTTAAAATTTTGAACGGTTAACATTAAATTTCCAAGAATAATTTATAATTCTCAAATTACAATAGAAGTTTTTGTTATAGCTCGACAATTACCAATCTTATGATTGCTTATTTTCCCAAGATCCACTTGTTTATAGACTTCTTAGTTAACGACTTTCATTTGAGAAGATTTGAAATCATAAATTTATCCGATGGGGATTTTTTCGTAGGCGATGATTCGGTGCTGCTGTTATCTTGTTGTACATCCACGTTTAAAGTCGTCGGGAGTTTGGCGATGTTGAAAAAATTGATCGGATGGGCCATCCGGTCAAAATTGGGACCAGATGGGTTTTTGCAAAGAGATTTCACGCCTGAAGATCCTTTGAGTTCTTGGTGAATTTTCCGTATGTGCTTCTAAACATAGAAAATGCTACATATGTTTACACAAGCCGGCGGAGCGTAGTATAATACTAGGGAGCAGCTTTTTGTTTAAACTAATTTGCATACAAAAGAGCTCATTTGTTGGAACTTTTGGTTTATTTTAATAGCGTCCGTAACTGCTTTATTGGTGGCGGTCGACGGTTCGGCTCCTGCGCATAGCAAAAGTTTGTTTTTCGAGGCTTATTTTTTTTTACTTTTTGCTTTCTATTTTTGTTTTTGGCTTTTGAGACTTATTTTTCAGTTTTATCGATTGTTTGCGAAGTGCAATTATAAATTTGTGCTTCAAATTGTGGTAATCAATACTACCGCAATAATTTATTTTTGAGTTAATTTTGGTTAGTCTTGCTAAAATGGTTACCAAACAATCAAGCATGCTTTTGCGTGCGTGCGGCCAGATTTAAAAATCACACTTCTTAATCTGGCCGCACCCAGGCTTGTTTTTTGGTAGGGTTTCCTTATATTTGTGCAGAGAATTTCCACATATATATTTTAGCAAGAATTTCTACATATTTTTGCATGAGTGCAATATATCTACGCAAGTTGCAACATAAATAGCTGAACTGAAGTTACCTTGAGGTCGAAGTTTCTGCAGAATCCTCTGTTGCAGTGTGGACACGTGTATGGCTTGCTGTCCGTGTGTGTGTGCATGTGGAATGTGAGATTGTACACCTGGTGAAATGCCTTATCACAAATGTGACACTTGTAGGCCTTCACTGAACTGTGGGTGAGGCAGTGGTTCTTGTAGTTTCCTGCAACAGTTTTTTCCCAAGTTTAGTCAAGTTGGCTGCAACCTTTTTATCCAAATTTTAGGAATTTCAGTGGAAATAGATTCAAGCTTTGCAGTAGTTTTGGAAGTCTTTGACATTTTTTTCTCGAGTTAGGGAAATAAATAGACAGATCTTGCGAAACATTTCTTACAATAAAACTAGTTTAAATTCAGACATTTGCATGGCATACCTTTCTGATGGAATCCCTTTCCACAAACGTCACAAGTATACGGTTTGTATCCACTATGTATGCGCATGTGGGTATTTAGAGTACTGCTTCTGTTGAATGCTTTGCTGCATATCGTGCATCGATGTGGTTTCTCGTTAGTGTGGATGATTTTGTGTCGACAAAGGGTGGAGGCTTGTCTGAATCCTTTGCCACATACTTTGCACACGAATGGACGAGCACCTGAAACGTGGATTTTAAATAGTTTCATCGGTATAGTTTTTCAAAATTGGAAAAATTGATCTGCTTCTCGTTTGCTGAAAATTTTGAAACTATCGAAGCAAAACGGTATTTTCTCCCAGAAATTTTTTTACTTTCGTTTTCAGTGGTTTCTTTAACTAAGGTCAGAATTAGCATAAATTAGTTCAAAAAAATTCGGATGAGAACAAATTACCTGTATGAACTGGCATATGTCGCGTCAAATTGTAATGGGCATTGAAAGTTTTGCCGCATTCGTTGCAATTATACACTTTTTCGTCTCCCCCACTTGCAGTAGAGTTCGGACTTGTTTCGGTTTCCAAATTTTCCCCTTCTTCAAAATCATCTTCAATTGTTTCTATGCTGTCGACAGTCATTGAGGTTTCTTGACTACTAAATGTCGAGTCAGAGAAAACTTCATCGGAAAGTTTCAATTTGGGTTTTTTCACTTTTTGTTCACTCGCAGGATTTACTGCATGATGGAATGTTTTCACGATTTTAGAAGTTTTCTCCTTGTTTTCGAGCATTTGTTGCTGGAGCTGTTTATCGTAGGCATTTTGTACCCGATTAAAAGTACCAGGGGATATTTGTGATCCGAAGGCTTGAGGAATTTTGTTCATTTCTAGAGGAAGGTTGCTCATACTTCGGGGAGAAATTTGAAAGTTCGGTGTATTTGTTCCCAATTCGTTGTTGTTTCCGAGCATTTTTCGCAGTAAAATATAATTGGAAAATTGCTGAGAGTGAAAAAGTTCGGTCGAGGCTATGCCTGATGTTGGAAATTGAAACTGCCCTAAGGAGTTTCCAGGGCTTAATTGAGCTGGCAGTAAATGAGAAACACTGGGTAAGTTTTTGTTGTCGACTTTTGCGTCCAAAGTTACGGGTTTGCTCGCATTAGGATTCTGATGAATCATTCTTGGGTCAAAAAAGCTTCCAACCGGGTGCTTGAAGTTATTGCTGCTCAAGGAAATATGAAAATTAGGCGAGTAATTTAAGGGAAAGTTCGGAATAGATCCTCTGAATTGGGATTTCCGCATTTGTATTAAGGAATTAATTTTGTCCATTTTCAGCCGATTAATTTCTGAAAATGTTAATTAATTTTGTCTGGGTGTTGTGCTTTTTGTGGAAAGATTTCTCAACTTTTTGTGAGCAATTGTCTGTAACTTGTCTGGTGTCTGAGTTTTAAAACGTTAAGTTGGCAGGTACTGTGAAAAATTGAATCGACAGTTTTGAAACGAAGAAAAGAAAGTTTTGATTTTTGGAGTTGCTTTTCGATGTCATGGTGACGTTGATGTTCTTTCATGTTGCGCAGCTGCGATTGGTTGAAATCAATTTAAATCCCACAAATAATCGATGGAGACACTTTAAAAAGACTTCTATTGGACAACCCGTCTCATCAAGCGGTTGAGTGAAATGATACAATAGATGCGCAATATAATTTACTTGTATTACAAGGGGGTTGAAAAATTTGAAAGGAAAACAAAGGAAATTTTCACACATTGTAACTGCAGTACACTAAATTGTCCCACTTAAGGGGAATCATTTTTCCTGTTATGCATTTTTCTCTGCGATTTTGGCCGCTCATTAATTTTCAAAGTGGTGCCTGTAGCAATTCACACTATGAGTCTCTCAGGATGTTAACTGTAGTAGATTGCTCTTAAGTCTGGCAAAAGAGGTCCAGCTGTGCCCAAAAATGCGGCCTTTTTGAGCCCAATTTGCGCAATAAGAATCGAGGCTTGAGGCTCATTTCAGCACCCTCCCTTTTACGGCCGTTTGAGATTATTAAGAGAGGCTGTCTTTGTACGTCACTACAAAAGAACTGCTGGACATTCGCTGGCCAGTGATAGCCCGGGCAACTGACCAAATTCCCCCCACCACGACTTACCCGGAGCATCTTTGATTTCCGAAACAATCCAAATGATCTCTCAGAACACCTCTTAAAAGATTTGATATGACTGAGAGATCAAATGAGAATTTGGCTAAATGATCGAACGTATTTTCCTATAAAGAATTATTTAGCTCCTAATAAAAGTATGTATGGCCCGCCTACGCGACACATTTGTGACTTTTTATTCGTAAAATAGGCTAATTTGTTCTAGGAAGTGGTAATCCACTCATTTAACTAGGTGAAGAGGGCGGGCCAGTATCCGATTACATTGGTTGTTCACAATTTTTGTAACAACTTGAAAGACTAATCGAATTACGCACGTGCAAAATGGCCCAAAATGAGCATAATCCAATCCAAAAATTTAAACTTTATTTTGTAAATCTCCATTTTTGTTTCTCAACGAGAATTGATTTTTTTTAACCTGTTTTGCGAGTTTAACGGGATTTCGCCCTAATTAGTTACGTTGTCGCTCAATGATAGTAATTCGTAGCCGCAGCGGCTGATTAGGTGAGACGAGCGGCCGTTAATTCGAGGATAATGAGCTCGATTCTCACTCCGGACACGCTCAGAGAATTCACAATATATTGTTATTTTTGCCTCTTTTGGGGCAGCGCTTCGTTTGTTCCGGGCAGGTATAGTATAGATTGTGCTGGCTAGTTTTTCAGTGCTTCATTTTGGTATGAAGATAGTTTTCTTTGTTTTTGGTAGCTGTTAAGTACTTTTTAGGAAGATTCTATTACAATCCGGTTAAGTTTAATTATCAACCACCAGATCAGGTCTCTGGCTGCTCAACTAAAATGACTTATTTCAATAAAAGTACGGAATATTGGAATCAATATAGCAATCCCCCTCGCATTAGGGTTTTCCGAAGAAGGTTGAACACTAAACTTCACAATATAAAAAATCAAAACTGCTCTCTGAGTGAAAAATAATGCATATAGAGCCGACTTTTTTGTCTTAAATGAAAAAAGTTTCTTTTAGTACATTAAGGGGATGCGAAGAAAAAATTTTGGTATTAAGAGGGAAGGTTAGAGCACCAACCCTGGTAACTTGCTTTCAACGAAGCAATGGTTGCTCAAACAAAATTAGGATTAAAAACTTAAAACATTTTTCCTTTTTCAAACTCTTTTCTTGACTCTCATAAAATAAACTTGAGCCGGTCAATTGATAGCATGATAAGCTCACATCAATCATCTGCTTGCCTTCAATGCGTTTCGTCGTTTTTACTTGAGGTGAGATAGCTCAATTGGTCGTTAAGGGTGGAGACTGATCAATTGACTCGAATATTGTTTCTCCAGAAAAAACTTTTTCTCCTTGTAAAGGAGAGGAGCATAGCTAGCTATTCATGTATGTCTAACTATTTCAAAGCCGCCGCTCATCTTTTTATGAAAGCGCTTCGACATTTTTGTTACAACCTTTCGTAGTGTGAGAAGTAACTATACCGTATGGGTTCTTTAGGCACGATCTCACGTTCCTCAAAAACAATGGTGGATGTTCAATTTTGATGTGCTTTCGAAGCCGTTTCAGCCTGATTCGAATTTTAAAAAAATTTCCCAAAAGTTTTTGCGGTTTTTAAGAAAAATGATACGAAGTTTTGCTATGGAGTCTCAGTTTTTAGGATGTGATTTCTGAGTCAAGAGCCGATAGAGGAAGGATCCTTCCCAAACTTATGTCGGCACTGTTTTCACTTTTTTAAAGCCATGTTTATTTCAGGCCAAAACTAAGTCCCTCCCAGGGCTCCTTTCGATGCAATTTAATCAAATGTGTTAACTTTTATTAAAAGGATTTTTGCTTCAATGCTACCCATTTCACTGAAAGGAAATCAAATTGTTTGAGCATTTGCTGTATGAATATTTTTGCTAGGTGACTGTAGCTGCAATGGTTATGTACATCGCAAATCAAACTAATCTAAAAAGCGAAATTTTATTTTAAAAAAAATTCCCCAACACTATCTGCAATATCATGCAATGATATATCATGGACCATATCTGCTATTTCTGTAGTATTTTTAGTTGCGTCTTAATTTACACTTGCGATCAGTTTAGTATTTTTATTACGAACCTTCTTTTTTTCTAACCTAACTCGCTAATAAAAGTGTTCATTAAAAGTCTTCAATTATCTGAAACTTAAGCAACTTCTAGTTTCGAATTTTGATCTTGATTTAAAGATTTGCCAGTGAAATGAAAAACTATCTTTTGATTGATCCAGTTTTCTCAAATTGGGTTAGTTTTATCGAAAAGTTAGTTTCAATCATGAATTATTCTTGAAATGCGAAAAGTTTTAAGAACATGTGTTTTTTGAAAATTTGAAAATCAGAAATCCTTTTCCAGAAAACAATTACTTCCTGTTTCTTTGCGTTCATTGACTCTTTATCAACTGTCTGTTGTCTATTTTTTAAGAAAACTTTTTCTCAGCTCAAATGGTTTTTGCGCAAGTCTTTTTTTTGCCAATTCGTAAGTATGATGCAATGCTTTATAAGCATTAGCGATTGTCTTAATTTTTAAAACGTTTTGTCTCAAAATGAAAGTTTTACAAAGCAAATCAATACAATTATAAAAGTTTTGGTAATCTAAATTTTTTGGCATTTTTTTTCCAGTTTTTTCTAAGTTATGAGGATTTCGGCTGGTGTAACGCATCCTTGGCTCAAATAATCAAAAATGAATCTAAAAATTTTCTAAATTAAATTGAAGTCGATTGAACGCAGAAAAAACAGAAAGAAATAAAGAAAAAATTTCTTGAATTTCTTTTGATCAAAAACCGTGGTTGGAGCCTTGTCATATGCTTGTAAAACAATCACCATTCCTTTTTAAAGTTAAGTTTTAGTTGGTTTCAGGGAAGGATTTAATGGGGACGCCCACTTCAGGTATTCGACCCCTTCATCAACCAAAATGTATTATTTAAATACCCTTTGGTAGGGATTCGTCTCACTTTGGTCTTATTTTATGACATCAATTTTCGAGCGACCAACCCTAAAATATTATAAAGGAGCCTTTGGCGCCAATATATACTTAAAGGGGAGCGCGCGCCGAAAATTTGCAATTTTTTAGTTAAGTTTTTCAAAAAAAGCCCAAAAACGGTTAAAAAAAAATTGCATGCGGCGCAAAAGTTTTCGTCAAAATAGGGTTTTTGTAAATGCTGTGAGCGCTCATACAATCAATTTGGTCGACCTAAAAAAGATCGAGAATTTTTTGAATATTCGCCCTCCCCCCAGAAAATCTTAGATTGGCCGTTGATTGGTTTCGTACGATTTTACGCGGGGTAAAACGCACTGATACCCAGATTTTGATTTAAAAATGAAAAAGATGTGGAAACTATTGAGTATAGCTAAAAATAGGCCAAGACAAAATCCAGGATAAACATCTTGATGTTGTGCTAAGTTAAAGGGCCTTTTTTATCCTCTTGATTGTGAATGCTTTTACATTTTGCCTCTTTGCTCGTTATCATTTTTGAACCTTATCAGTACTTTATACCTGCTTAAACACTTTGACATCAGTTTTTCAGCAGTTTCAGCTTTCTTATCTAAAAATTAAAGCAACGCGGCGCTTTTAAATGGACATTATGTATAAAATACCTTTGACTTATCGCAAAATTGGGCACTTCGATTTGAGATACAATTTTTCAAAATCTTTTTCTGAAGCTTGACGTTTTGTTTTTCGAAATTTAAATTTTTTTCGAAATCTTTTTTTAATGCTAAAGATGAAAAAGCGTGGCGTTTTTAAATGGACATTAATTATGTTAAAATTGGCTTCCAGCTTATCTTAAAATGAGCACTTAGTTTGAAATTTTACATTTGTGTTTAAAAACTAAAACGTACAGAGGTGCTGATGTGCTTATGATTTAATAAGAACAAGTTATCTTGATTTTATCTCGACAAAAAGTATTTTGTGCTTAGCAGAACAAAACAGCATTCTGTTTATTTCGTGTTTATGTCTTTGTTTACCGTTTTGATTTGAGATTAGGAAGTTAAAGCATCAGCGCAGCGGCAGTTTTTTTGTTAGTATTATCTTTTATGAATATTGACGGCGCCCCATCGAGGAAAATTAGATTAGAATAACATCTATTTGATTGTTACAAGATGCTAAATAGTTGCGAAATTTGAATTGAATGCAATCTAACTTAATTGTTTTCTGTTCATATCACTTTGAATGGGAGTTGAAATGTTAACTGTTTTGACCCGTTATAGGGATGCAATAGCAGGGTTATTTTGGACATAATCGACCCGGGGTACGCCTTGGAAAAGTAGGAATGTTCCAGAGTTGAATGGGGATATTTTAGTCCAGTTGTTTGCAACCAGTGGGATATTATGGTCTCTTAATGCAACTTCATGTCAAATATGTCCAAGAGCTGATTAATGCCACAAAAAGATCTCAGTTGGCTGTAATCGTGTCACTTCATAAGTTGAAATAATTGTAAATTGACACTTATTATACATGCTTGAATCAAGAAAAATTGTCGAGTTTATATTTTATACTTATACGTGCGTCTTGAATACAAACATCTTTCGTTAATTAACGAAAATGTATTTTTTCACTTTTTTCTTTTAAGTTTCAATGTCGATTTAAACATTTTTCTGAAGTGAGTTGAATAAATTTTGATCATCTTTGCATTTTATCTGATCTTTTTGAGCTTTTTAAAATATTTAGTAAAAGTGTTTACGTATCTCTTTTTTGTTCGCTCTTCGTATATTTTGGCGTCACCTGGACAAAAACACATTTCACACGGCAGTTTTTTTTCATCCTAATTCCATTGTTTCATTGACTTAGTTTTTGGTGACTCTTGAAGATAGCTCTCTTTTGTGATTGAACTAACAATATACCTATTGTAGAACTATGAATTGAGCGATGCTACCAAAACTTGGCTATTGTCAAAGTTAGGAGGTCTAGCTGAGGTATGAAAGTTGTGCCACCTAGAGAAAGAAAAGTCACTTTTAAAGTCTAACTTGTCTGAAAAGACTGGAAAGAAAGAGGAATAAAAGTTGCTTCATGAGCGTGCTGCGCTTTTGTATTAGAAAATACATTTCGAAATAAACAAAAAAGTACTGTAGACATTTTCAAGAAGTTCAAATTTTCCCTTTTTTCTAATTAAATGATTAATGTGTATGCTTTTGGAGCGAGCATCCAATTTTGTAATTGAACCATTTAGGAATTAAATATTTCAAAATATGGGGTATAGTTTTTGGAAAAAATAGTTTAAAAGGCTCAATTAAAAAAAAGACTCCAATTTTGCATGTTATGACCCCCGTTCAGCATGAAAATCTTAGATCTGCTCCATATAGCTGAAATCCAGTTTGCGAAATTAGCCAAATACCACTTGAAACATTGATTAGTGTAGACCATTAGGATTAGTCTTTTTGGCTTTCTGTAAATACGAGGAAAGGATCGACTAAAGCGAAAGGCAGATTTGAATATTAATCAAAATTCATCCTAGGCTCTAAATCAGGTTGATTTTGACAGATGTTTTGGTCACATGGTACAATTTAAAGACTATCAGTGCTATCGCTCTAATGAGGCTATTATCGTTGTTTGTAAAAGTAACCCGTTGACGTAAAAGGTAAGCTTAACCTGCAAAGAATTCAACGTAGAACGCCTCAACAACCATAAAAGAGAGATTTTGACAGCCATTTGTTTGATTTTTCGTTTTCCAGGAAATCAACCCAACCACAGGTCAGCCTGTGTTTAAAGTGTGTATGCTGTGTGGTGCTCCTGGACTAGGCAAGACCACCCTAGCACATGTATTGGCCAAACATGCAGGCTACAATGTGATAGAGGTGAACGCCAGTGATGACAGGAGTCCAGAGTTGTTCGCCAAAATCATCGGTTAGTTGATCATCTATCCATCTACGTGGATACCATTTATCCACAAGGGAAAGCGCCATTATATGAATTTTGCACCTCTGGTCAAGGAATCGCTGTTCACAACTTGGTCCATATTATATGCATTTTTTGTCAAACAAGTCAAGTGATTCAATCCGAATGTTAAGTACTAAAATGCTCTAATTAAAAAATTATCGACTGGGCTGAGAATCAACAGTTCAATTCAAAATATATTGCATTTCGCATGTGATGCTTAAAATGGATTATATAAGACGATATTTGCATCCTGAAACTATTGTCTTTGCAGGTTGATTGTTTTTGACTTCAAAATTTTTTTTGCCATCTTTAGGCGTTCCCTGTTTTGAAACCTTCCCGTAGAACCCTTAATTAAATGTTAAGTGTTCTTTAAATTTAGAAAATGCAACACAAATGGGTGGCGGAGGCTCCATCGCCCTCGGATCAAAAATAGAAAAGAACCAAACCAATGCAAACAACCGAACTAATATCGAACAAGATAGACCCAAGTGCTTAATCATAGACGAAATTGACGGATCGCCGGAAGCCTCAATAAAAGTTTTGTTGAATTTTGTCAACGGAACCCAAACTGCAAAGAAAGGGTCCAAAAAAGGAAAGAAAACTCGCATTCTAAAGCGACCAATCATATGCATATGTAATGATCCCTATGTCCCTGCGTTGAGACAATTACGACAACAGGCTTTAGTTCTGAAGTTCCCGGTGACTTCAGTGTCAAGATTGACCGCACGTTTGATCTTTATATGCAGGCGTGAAAACTTACGAGCAGACAAAACAAGTTTGATGAACTTGTGTGAACTGGCAGCAAATGACATCAGAAGCTGTATTAATACACTGGAGTTTATCAAGAATAAATCAGACGTGGTTTCGACTATGACAATCAAAGCTGCGGGGGTTGGAAGGAAGAATGTAAAGAAGGGTCTTTATGAGGTGTGGGGGTCTATTTTTACAATGCCGAGAGCTAAACGGGGCCCGAATGACGAGCAGGTTGCGACTAATGCTAATGCAGCAGCCTTCAGGTAAAATATTTAATCAGTATTTCATTTTGTATAGTTTTGTTTTCGTAGTTTGCATTGTGGAGCGATTGGCCTGTCCAAACTATGCTATTATCTGAAATCTTAAATGTGTGCTATCAATTTAAAAGAACCTAATAGAAAAACCAGTCTTATTACCGTTGCGATGAGCAAGGGTGTTGCAATCGGGTACTAACAAGACTTTTCTTCCCGTAAACAGCTTGGTTCACAGAAATCGCACGTGAAAGTGTTACAGGTATGTTACTTGGTTTATTATAAACTCAAAGTGAGTTCTGCTCAATTGGCGTAGTGGTTACACTCATGCCTGAGTCGATAAAGGCCCAGAGAGGTGGATTCGAACCGGGACCTGTTTTTGTTCCGACTTTCGATACGAAAGTAACGGAATATTTGTGCTCGGGGTGGGTTTTTTTTTCTTCAGACAAATTTCGACTTTTTAACTAGCCATCTTTGACGGAATTTTTTTATATCATTCAAAAGGTATTGTTATCCTGAGCTTAAATTTGAAAAGATATTTCACCTGTGATCATTTTTCATAAAGTTATGAGGGTTTAAAGATTGCCATTTTGACCAATTTGGGACAATTAACGCGCGATATAATTCGCGCTATTAACGCGCAAGCGGAGATTTAATCCGTCTTATAAATCGTTCCAAATTGGTTGAACGAAGCTTATTTGCCATAATTGATTTGTTACAAGGAACGAAATATATCTTTTTGTACTTCATATGGCGTATGGGGGGATGATTTTCATAAAGAACTTCAAATTTTTGAAAAAAAGAAATTTTATTTTATTTCATTTAATTTTTTTATGCTATTACTGCTGCTCCATAAACCTTAAAAGGCAGTCGGAACATTCAGGGCTTCGCCCTGATACGAGCAGTCTTGTTTCTTTTAAAACTTGAAATTTTCGGCTAATTTAGACTATCGTCTGTCTGCTTATTTTTGTCGGCTTAGTTCCCATAGAAAGGAATTTTTTGGAAGGCTCGGCTTCTTATGGCATTCTGAATTCTCCTAGTAAAGTTTCTAATTGTGCATTGTTTTTTGGCTTTTTTGCTGTTTATATATATATATATATTTTTTCTACAAAAAAAGTTTTTTTTTATTTTTCTTTTCATTTGCTTTTAATGAGAGTCATTAATTTTTGTATAGGAAGTGGTTTTGCAGAATGATTGATACGTTTAGGTTCTCTGAGACGCTGAACCTGGTGTCAATGGCTGGAGAGTACGAGCGACAGGTGTCGGGAATATACGACAACTACCCGGACATCCCCTTCCGAGACGCCTCCATGTTCGTGCCCTCAGTCCTTTCTGATTGGCTGCTGTTCTATGACGTCAGTTATCGATACTTGATGAGTCATCAGACATTTTCACTGATGAAGTTTTTCCCGTTTGTGTCTGTGGCTGCGCATCTGTTGTGTGCAGTTAACAGGTTAGTTGGTTTGATATACTTATATCGTTTTAGCTTCAAGGTGTTTTTACACAAGCGAAGCGTAGTGTATTATAAGCACTTTCGCAGAAGTTTCCTTTTTTTCTTAAAAACTACTACCGATTTTCAAAAAAAAAATGGTCCCAGTGGAAAAACCGGCTGCTCTTCTATGTGCCAGCTTATTTCGCTAATCTCTATTCATTTTACTTCACGTTCTACGGCCTTCGGAAATTTCAGTAGGGGATTTTTTGACCTATTTGTTTTGAATTTTTTCATTTTCTCAAACATTAAAAGCACAAATCTGAGATGAAGATTTCAATCAACAGAACAAATTATTGGAATCTCGCTTTCTCAAACGGTTTTTCTCTAAATTTAGTAGAAAAAAGAAGTTATTGCCTTTAAAAAGCCCATGACTTGACATTTTGGTTACTTTTAAAGTTTTTTTTGACTTTTCAATGACTTTCGCGTCAAAAAAATACCTGTTAGGAACCTGCCAGTTTCACACTTTCTCGAAGCAAAAAGCGCACACATTTGAC